CTTGCCACGGCGCCATCTTTACAGCATTAATCTCATTACTCGCAGGTCACTATTGTTAAATGAATGCATTTAAATTCGTCTATCTGCAGGAGGAAGGAGGGGCCATGCATTTAAATAGCTAGGTCACTAGTATTAAATTGGGTAACTAAACTGCAGTTGTTGCATTTTGAAAGTGCAGCAGAAAGAAAAAGGGCCCAATGTGAATCTGCAATGGGTTTGAAGTGGAGTTGGAGCTAATGAACGCATGGAAAAGTGATCGTTCATGCGTTCTACCATAACCAAAGCAGCAGATGGCTCCGGGGACATCTGTTATTCGCATGGGAATGTTTCGGATTCGGGTTGATTTATTTCCTCAGGCTGTTAAACAACCATGGGCATGGTTCTCTGACCGCCGCTGCTGCCGTTCCTACTGATGCCTGATCCCGCTGCTGCCTGTTCCCGCTGCTGCCTGTTCCTGCTGCCTGCTCCTGCTGCTCCTGCTACTACCTGTGCCGCTGCTGCTGTTCCTGCCGCTGCCGCTCCGCGGGCTCCCAGGCTGCACCTGTCTCTACGGCTCGGCTCTTTCAGACACGTATGTAACCTGGCTCACGGAGACAAGCGGCGCACGCTGGCGTGACACGTCTGTTGTTCGTATGAATCGCATTGTGGTGCTACTGCTCCTGCTGCGTCATACTGCTACCGCTACTGCTGCTACTGCTGCTATTGCTGCCGCTGCCGCTTCATACTGCTACTGCTGCCGTGCTGCTGCTGCTTCTTTTACTTTGACACCTCTCTTCACTTCGCATCCTTCTACTGAAACACTAAACAGCTACAACAATATTCTACTGCTGTGGCTTTGATACAGGATTATTGCTGTTATTATCTACGGATGCTGCAACTGCTGCTGCTGCTGCTGCTGCTGCTTCATACTGCTACTGCTGCTGCTTCATACTGCTACTGCTGCTACTGCTTGCTGCTTCATACTGCTACTGCTGCTACTGCTGCTGCTTCATACTGCTACTGCTGCTACTGCTTGCTGCTTCATACTGCTACTGCTGCTGCTGCTTCGTTTACTTTGCCATCTCTCTTCACTGGCATCTCTTTTACTGAAACACTGAACAGCTACAACAACATTCTACTGCTGTGGCTTTGATACAGGATTATTGCTGTTATTATCTACAGATGCTGCAGCTGCTGCTACCCACTCTCTCAGAAGCTTATCCTGCTTCTAATGGATGCAGCCCGGCTGAGTATGCCGCGCTGCGCTGGACTCGCACCTATGCTCCCAGGGTCGCTTCGGCGGTCATGCTTCATCTCTATACTTAATCTTCTGATTCTATCAGATGCAGCTGGCCGAGTAGCTGCGCTGAGCCGTCAATCGGACTCCTAATCAAAGGCATCCACACCTGTATTCTTCACTCTTCTGATCGCAGGCTCCCCATCATGCTGCCCATCCTGCAGCGGCACTGAACTCCGGCTCATCTTCCAAGTACATGTCTGCCCTCCTCGCAGCATCTTCCTGCTCGCCTTCTATGGCTTCTCTGCATAAGCGTTTTACTACTGCTCACTCAACCTTCATGCGGTCCGAGACACGGCTTTCCCGACCATCCTACTATCCTGATTATCTACTCTCCAACCCAAGATTCTAAGCGTAAGGGCGCCTGCAAACATCAATGGCCCTCTCCGACATGTCTCTGCCCCTACAGGTCTCCGCTTCTACACGGACGCTGCCCCTTCCGTGGGTTTTGGGGGTTCTTCCAGGACCATTGGTTTGCCTGGCCGTGGCCGCTACTTTCCACCGGAGCATCTCTTCTGCCCTACACGAAATATTCCCAGTGGTCGTGGCTGCGCGCTGTGGAATCACACGTGGCAGAGAAAGAGGATCTCCGTCATGTGTGATAATCCCGATGTAGTGGAAGCATTACACAAAGGTCGCTCTTTTTCACCCAACTTAATGTCCCCTGACCATTTCAACCTTCATCTCAAACATTCAAAAAATCAAAGGAGCCTGCAACATAGTAACAGCTCGCTCGGACACATCTCTCTGCCCCTACAGGTCCATGATGCGTTACACTCCGCGTAGCCTCCGCTGCAAAAAGGAGATTTTAACGGACCTCTCTTTCTCACTCCAGACATTCTTCCCATGACAGCAACCTGGTTCAGAGCTCAGCTAAGATCCCTACTGCTCCTCTGTAAATTATCTCCCCAGCTCTACACAGCTCACTCCTTCAGGATAGGCGCTGCCACGCGCGCGGCCTCGCTGGGGCTCCCCCACACCTCTCTGCAACAGCTGGGGCGCTGGTCCTCTTCGGCCTTCTCCGCCTACATCAGGCCAGACGCGTCCGCCATCCTGGCTGCACAACGGCAACTGGCTTCCTCGTAAGCTCCAAAGCAGCAAAGCAATACAAAGCAAAGTAAGTGAACCTATAAGATTCTGGTGGCGGCACGCACTTTAAAGAAACTCTGCTGCAGCGTCTGGTATCGATCGTGATGCGAGCGCTCACGTCCCAGGCAGCGTCCGGTTGATCGTGATGCGAGCGCTCACGTCCCGGCGCTTAAAGATAACTCTGCTGCAGCGTCTGGTATCGATCGTGATGCGAGCGCTCACGTCCCAGGCATCGTCCGGTTGATCGTGAAGCGAGCGCTCACGTCCCGGCGCTTAAAGGCAACTCTGCTTCAACGTCTGGTATCGATCGTGATGCAAGCGCACACGTCCCAGTCAGCGTCCGGTTGATCGTGAAGCGAGCGCTCACGTCCCGGCGCTTAAAGGCAACTCTGCTTCAACGTCTGGTATCGATCGTGATGCAAGCGCACACGTCCCAGTCAGCGTCCGGTTGATCGTGAAGCGAGCGCTCACGTCCCGGCGCTTAAAGGCAACTCTGCTTCAACGTCTGGTATCGATCGTGATGCAAGCGCACACGTCCCAGGCAGCGTCCGGTTGATTGTGATGCGAGCGCTCACGTCCCGGCGCGCAAAGATAACTCTGCCCGTTTTTGGGGATTATGCGTGCGAGCAAGCGCCGCGCTCAGCAGAATCTCTCCCGGGCCTGGGGCGCCAAACATGCTCAATCAACAAACTTCTAACTGCATTTTCCCTCTTGGGTCTCTCCAAAGTGAAATGAAGCTCTTCGCGAAAGTTCACTGTGGTAGACCCGGCTGCTGCTTGCCCAGATCTACAAACCCGCTCATCCTCGACTCATTACACCAGCAACGCCCACATCTAATCCACCAATAACCACCAGGACAGCAAGTTAAAAGCCGGAGACACCCACTTCCCAGCCTTCTGAAGTCCGCAAGCCTCCACCGCCCCACCTCCTCCGTTTCTCATCGAAGCGTGCTTGCCTACTGCCTCTGCCGCCACCAGTGCCTAGGCCCCGGGGGGGGATTATGCGTGCGAGCAAGCGCCGCGCTCAACAGCATCTCTCCCGGGCCTGGGGCGCCAAACATGCTCAATCAACAAACTTCTAACTGCATTTTCCCTCTTGGGTCTCTCCAAAGTGAAGTATGTTAGTGGTGATGGGGAAGTACAGTATGTGGCCACTTTGAAAACATCTTGAAGTTTTACACCAATAAAACGTCAACCATCCATCCATCCATCCATTTTCTACCCCTTAATCCATTTGTGGGTTGGGGGTGGCCAGAGATGCCACCCAGTACACAAAGCACCAGCCAAAAGGCAAACACTAATGCATATAGTAATCTATATACACACACACACACACACACACACACACACACACACACACACACACACACACACACACACACACACACACACACACACACACACACACACACACACACACACACACACACACACACACACACACACACACTGTTGGACTAGAGTTTATGGACTGTTTATTTTGACAATCAATTTGTGCTGTAGAACGCAAGTTTATATATGATGGACGCCAACAGTCAAAGTAAGCATGCTAACGTGAGTTAATGTTTGCCTCCTCAAAGTTCATTGTGGCATTTACCTTGAGGTTTGTCCATAACAGGTCAACGGTGGGTTTAAAACACCTCCTCGTTAAATCTGACCTGTTAAAATAATTGTCTCTGGCTAATATCCTAGTAAATGTAGATAAAATCCTCTTTCTTTTCAAAGTTTGCTGGCGCTGTTCATATAAAAGGGGTGCTTAACGATCCAGCAAATACTGTAGTTGTTTTTTGTGTTTTGCTGAGCAGGTTGAATGTTACATATTTTTTATTGCTCCAGAAAATCAGACTGGATACTTTAATTTTCCTAAAACAATGTTGGCAAAGACACACATCAAAGGACCCATCTCAGACTTACAGTATGTGGTAATGCAATACATGTTTATGTTCAGATATTGACTTTTTTGCAGCTAACATATTCACCACAGGCTTAAAATGAAAATAAAGAAAAAAGTGTTTTAAATAGGATGTTTATTCATTATTATTATTTATAATTTATATTATAAACTTTTTTTCTTATGAAAGCCCCCAATAGCAAGTGAATTAGCAATACAAATGCTTAAACAAATATGTCCAGTCACAAATATATAAATAGATAGGAAACTGAACAATCCCCACACAAAGTGACTTTGTTTTTAAATAAACTGTGATCAATCCACAACCATTTTAGAATATATTGTGTTTAAATTCCTCATCCTGACCAGAAAAAGCCACACACTAAAATCCAGCTGGAGATGGACTTTTGATTACGACACACAGTTTATGTTGTCTTTGAATTGACCTTTTTATGACTAAAGTGCCACTCTTCCCCTCTCCACAGCACAAAGACTTCCCCAGTACTTCTATAACATTCTCAAACATGTTAAAATCTGATAAATCTATGAGTGAAAATCATGTCTCTTGCTTTCTGAACCAGGACACTAAGTATTCAATACGAGCCATGTTCTTATTTGCTTAAATGTAGTTTTTTTTGGTCAGGTTGTGTAACTCATTTGGATTATGGAAAATTACAGCAGGTGCAGCTTGTTCGGAAGACCAGCCCTGGTGGACAGCTCTGGAGCATAGCAGTCCCGTGATCACAGCTATAAAAGGTGGTCTCGTCCGCCGGGTTTGGGAAGCGTCCACTCCCTCCACTGCAGACACTTCCTGCATTGGGTGTGGACGCAGCATCTATAGTAGAAAATATGTTGTTATTTTCAGTCACAGGTTTTTACAATTTTACAAGCAGCAATCATATATTCATCATAATCGATAAGATTCAGATTCATTTATTTGCCATTTGCAGTAAAACCACATAGGAAAAACTGTGCAAGACTACCCCAGTGTGCACCAGACGACACACACCAGAGCTCTTGCCACAAGTTATACAGTGACAGTATTCAGTATTCATTTGAATTCATTTGCCCCATTTTTTATATTGTTCCAAAGTCTATTTACTTCTGTAATTCAACTTACAATTTGAAACTAAAATATGACATATCATGTCATTTTATTAATGTTGTATTCTTCTTTTTGGAAACTCAAAGACGATTTAAATGGTATAATTTATTAACTCCAGTGCGCGCCATCGCCCCCTCTGACAACCACCAACCGTTCACACACCAGACTCATTCTGCGCAATGTGGGTAAAGTGTCTTGCCTAAGGACACAGTGACAGTTTGACACGCCCCACTTTGGCACATGGTGTTTGCAGAGGTCTTCCATCACAGTAATAACCAGGCTCTAGCCTGAATAGTTTACAAGGTGTGAACTACTGGCGCTACACAAACCCACAATCCCTCAGAAAGTTAGAAAGTGTACTGTAAGCAAGCCCCGGTGATCCAAGATGGCGCCCCATTCAAATGAATGGAGACCGGGAGATTAGCTGAACTCGCCTATAATTGGGCATCGTCTGGTCCTCCCGGTTCCCGGCACAATGCATGATGGGAGATATCTCCCATCATGCGTCGCGCCAAACGTGCGTGTGTGGCTTTCATGCACACGCACAGAGGGGCTCGGCCGCGCGCTGACCAATCAGAGCTGATCATCAGAGCAGTGGTAGAGCGGAGTCAGAGCGGGAAGGCAGGGAGCAGAGTTTGTGGCAGTAAAGTGTGGATTTAAAGAAAACCGAAGGATTTAAGAAGAAAAAAAGTTCAGGATGACAAGGGACACTACAATCCCCACAAAATCCGATCTTTATGAAAGCTGTAGGTTCTCTGTCAGCTGAGGTCAAGCTGTTTTAGTTTACATTGAGTTCTATGGGACTTTTTTCTGAGTAGCCCTCGTGAATTTAGTCTGCAGAACCACGGGCGCCCCCTGTGCCCATGGGTGGGACAGCTATAAGCTAGTAATACCCTATCCAGTTAGTATTATAGATCCATGACTGCCATAACCATCAATATGACAACAAACAAAGGCTTAGCATATGCCACTTGTCAAATATTGGTTTCACATTTTGATTAAGAAATATCATAATTTCCCGACTTTAACCTAAAAAAAGTAGTTATTTATTTATTTTTTCAGACTCTGTTATCCACGTGTTTAAACACTCAATATGCTACAATAATATTAATCATATGAGTTTTTATTCATTCTGAAAAAAATATGGTGCACTATAATATTACATAGACTATACATCTATAGTCTATAAATCTATCCTAAACCATTACTAATTATTATACCTAGTTGGTCTTTCAGGTGGCTTATGAAGGGGTTATTTCCATCTTTACAAAACCTTCCGGTGAAGTCATCCAGGTCCAGGCTCCACACAACCGCTCCCCCATAGCCCTTAGTGGTGATGTGTGTAACCTACAAATATAAGACGGACAATTGTTCAAGGCTTCTATGAGAGTTCAGACCATGAATTTCACTTAATCTTGGCTTTAATCTACTATGGAACTAGTAAAAAGACTTCAACACATTTATCAGAATTATAATTTAATTTAGGAACAAAGGCATAAATGCTCCATATGCTCTCTCTCTATTTGAATTTTGCTCTTGGCCAGGACACTTTATGGGATTATCCAAGAATCTGTCAGCTGCTTTTCTTGTGCAGAATTTATTGTTGATTTTTTTTTTTTGGCCCCTTTTAGATCTACATATAACTTGCTGTATTTTTTTTTAATTGTTGGTCTTAATCTGTCACATGTCTGACATAAAACTAATATTGTAATTTATCAGGGCTTCGGTAAAAGTCATAATTTGTGTAATACACAATGCACACTGCAGCACACCTGACGAATTAAATGAGCCATACCTTATCATCAATACTGGCAGTGTTGTCAAAACCAACCCATTGTCCTTCTTCGACTGCGTACGGAACGCTCTGGTCTGCGATCCACTGCCCAGTTGCTCCATCAGTGTAGAGGCAAATCTGAAAATAAACATGAAGCTTAAGCGACCAAAACAGAGAAATGGCGCCACTCTGACTCCTCCCTCCACACGCCTGCGCCTGAGCTCAGCCTCAGCTGCACTGTAACACACCTGAGCTCATCATCACTTCTGCATTTAAACAGAGCCTCTCAGTTTTCTGCCGCTTCAAGCTGCTTTTCGAGCAACAACCCTCCTCCTCCCCATCACCGCCTCTTCAGTGGAGTATCATGTCTTGTCTTCAGCTCATTTTTCTTCGCGACAAGGGTCTAGGCCCCGGGGGTTCACAAGCTCATAATTTCTATCAAACTCCCTTCGTCATGCAGTGTTCCTGCCAAGCTTAACGAACATTTCATGTTCAAATGTGATACATGTATTAGTATCCATTAGTTAGCAGCTGTTATTCTAATGATTAAACATGGATCATCTCCCATTAGTTTCAGTAACTTGTCACTTCCCATCAGGTCATAAATCGCAGTCGCTCCACTGTTGCCCCAGGTGTGCGCAGAGGTCTCCCGTCACTGCAGGTACTACTGCAGGAGGTGCCACACGTCAGTCCTCTACTGTCTTTCGCCTTGTTTTATTTCATTTCACCGCTTCTTTTCTCTCCAGACTTGCTTTTTGGCTTTTGCTGCTTTCCCATTTTTGATAAGATCCCAAAAGGGCCAGCGCGCTAGCAGCTAACTGGCAACAAAAACACGCTTTTCTTTAACAGGACCTGTGTGGTCAGTGGTGAGCTCGCATAGAAAAATGAGCCATGGGATTGGTGCCGTGAGGTAGACCCATTATTGGTACACAATTTTAACAAGTTTCTGGGACTGACATCTCCCTAAATACTTTTAACTTACCTCATAATTGGACCAGATCCCAGGCGGGCCCCCAAAGCAGCCCTCCTCTGCAGGACCAGACGTAGCGGCCCCAGGTCCACTCACACTGGGGTCAGTGAGGTTAAAGGCCACTCCATACGCTGCTATCCCCATGTTGAGCTTTGCTGCTGGGACCCCGAGATCTGAGGCCCAGTAGTTCATTGCATATTCCTGTAAATGCAATAAAAGTCCATTGATGAGACTTGACCCTAGCTTGGATTACAAAGAGAGAAGGACGAATGAGGACTGAACACTGTGGATAATATTGTACTCGCCGTGGTCTTAGTATCTGCAGCATTTGAGGACAGTGCCCCCAGAGGACTGTGATGTGCTGTTACTGCTGATGATGGATCATGAAAGCCAAATGTCAAAACATTGATGAAATCCAGTGCACTGTAAAATAAAACACAGTCAGTTTTACAATTATTGAACTTTTCCAAAACCGTGAACTGAGACCCTACTTGGCCAAGGCGACAGGAGTTGGATAACTGTTGACAATCATAGTCTTTTCAGCAGACACACTGGCAGAGAGGAGCAGACGTGGAGAGGCTGCATTAAAAGCAGTTCTGAGTTCCTGAAAAACATCCAGATAAAACATCTAAAAACCTTTGTGTTGTTTATGTCTAATAGAGTTTCAATTCTTTTAATGGGTTCCATTCTTTGCTGTTGGAATGACACTATAATCTTCATTTATTTATTATATATTTAAACTAATTGGCATATCTTTTGAATCATGACTGGAGCATTGTGGCTCCCTGTATATTTTAGAATTTATTTTAAAAATTGTATTTTAAAATTAATTTGAATTTGAATACCACTATAATTATGGTATTATTCTATTCTTAATAGAATGGCACCTTGTTCCTATGACCTCATCCAGCCCCACCTTTTTTCCAGAATGCTGAAGACGAGCGGAGGGCCTTTTCTGCCGCAGGTTTTCATGTTCTAATGTGGTATTTAGCCGAGAGACAGCCCAACACAGCAGGAAGATGACTGTTTTATCTCGACCCAACATAAATTAATGACAAGGCGTTAAGCAGCGAGAGCTTTGATGCCTACTCATTCACTAGTTTCTTTTGACAAAATGCGAGTGTCCTATAGCGATTACAGGTTGTTGAAGTCAAAATGATAAGTCTGTTAACTCTGCTTTGACAACAGCCTGACTCTATCTCAAAAACTATAAACATTAGCTGCAGCGCTTTACAACCATGAACAACGATTAAAATAACTAGACAAAAGTAGCGGCTTGTAATTTGGCAAAAACAGTTCATGTTGTTTGCATTTTTGTGTGTTTTTCACTTGTCTGTACATTAATTTGGTAAGCCTATGCTTTACAAATAGTAAGTACTTTATTTATATGCCGCATTTTTACAGCCCAAGGTCACCCAAAGCGCTTACAATGTTCAGAGTTCAGATATTTTCATTCTTTCAATTCACTCACTCATTACATTCATACCTATTGTGCATGTTTTTAGTAGCAGGGGAAACCGGAGCACCTGGAGGAAAGCTACACAGACACAGGGAGAACATGGAAATTCCAGCCAGAAAGACCCTGTTCCGACTGGGATTCGAAACCAGGACCTTCTTGCTGAGAAGAAAGAATACTAACTACTCAGCCACTCTGTCAATTAATATTGATTGTCGAACGATCAGACTCTGACCTGACAGAGAGAAACGAATCGATTCTTGTCCTGCTTGGTTGCGTCTCCAGGATAGCGCCAGTCCAGGTTAAGTCCATCAAAGTTATAGGTTTGAAGAAGTGAAATGGCTGAAGCGATGAATCTACTTCTGCTGTTGGACGAGGCCACCATTGAATGGAACCTGTTGGATGAAAGTGTTTAGACTGTAGCATTATTCATTTAACACACAAGCTTGGCTGGGAGTGTGAACACTTTTTAATCTTACTTTTGACTGTCAAAGCCCGGGCCGCCTACAGCCAGCAGAGTCTTTAATTGTGCGTTGCTGTAAAATAGAAACATAAGATTCAGATTCAGATTCATTTATTGGCCATGTGCAGTATAAAACCTACATTGGAATACATTTGCAATAAAAGGTACTCTGTGTGCACCGACAGAATAAAAGCACGATACAATGAAATATAAAATACACATACACTGAATATAAAATAATAAAAAAACAGCTGACACTGTGGCACCGATCAACAAAACGATACAAGGGGTAAAAGCAGGAATTAAAGTGCTCTGTTTAGGCACCTAACAGCCTGTGGAAAGAAACTGTTAGCATAGCGAGATGTCTTGCATCTCAGTGACCGATATCTTCTGCCAGAGGGAAGAAGCTGGAACATGGCTTTCCCAGGGTGGCCAGAAGAGTCATTGATGATTTTAAGAGCTTTGTTTAAAAGTCTGGATTTGTAAAGAACCTCCAGAACAGGAAGCTCACAGCCCACGGTCCTCTTTGCAGAGCGGAGCACCTTGTTTAAAGCTCTCTTTTCTTTATCTGTGATGTTTCCAAACCACACAGACACAGAACCAACAAGTAAACTCTCAATGGTGCAGCGATAAAAATTAAGCAGAATCTTAGAGTTAGTGGTAAATTCTCTAAGTTTCCGCAAAAAGAAGAGCCGCTGACGAGCTTTCTTAACAACCCGGTCAGTGTTTTTAACCCATTTCAGGTCGTTAGACAGAGTTAAACCCAGAAACTTACACTCCTCTACGATCTGCACCTGGGAGTTGTCAATAACAACAGGAGTGTGAGAACTGCTACGACTGAAGTCAAAGACAAGTTCACATGTTTTTGCAGTGTTCAGCTGGAGATTGTTTACTTTACTCCACTGAAAAACATGTTCGATCTCTGCTCTATAAGAGGAATCATCATTGTCACTGATGAGACCGATGATGGTGGTGTCATCAGCATATTTGATGATCAAATTTGAGTCAGAGGAGGACACACAATCGTGAGTGTACAAAGTAAAAAGCAGAGGACTCAAAATACATCCCTGAGGAGAACCAGATTAATGAGCTTTTTTTCACATCTTAAAATGTTTGCTTTGTACAGACCTGGATTTAAGGCTGTTCAATGCTGTATAGAGGGTTGTGTCCGAGGCCTGAGTAGGAACGAGTTCTTTTGTGTTATCAACGGAGGCAAAACCAAAAATGATGTGGGTGCACAGATTTGGATCAATGTTTGCTGGGAGTAACTGGCCGCCAGGGCCTCTGGTGGCTGCTTCGCTGTTGTAGTAACACACCAGCCTGTTGCAGGAAACTAGAAACACATATTGTTCAAACAAAGTGACAAAAGCAAGACAAGAATTTATCATAAAATGGACTTACCCATTGAGGCCCAGAGCAGGCAAAGACCTTAAGAGAATGAGTGACACAGTTACTTTTAGATCATGTGGGACCGAGAATATATTTGAAATGTCTTTAAAAGATTTTTTTAAAGAATTTACTTGCTGTAAGAAGTGCGCCGTTCATGTTTCTGAAGAAAAAAAATACAATTACAAAGTTGCCACATATCTTTTGTGAATTATACATTTTGCCATTTATTTTTAAGGAGACTGTTCAAAACAAATGCTGTTTAATTGTATGATGGAAATTTTAGTCAAAGCTAGTTATGCATTTGATGCTCTTTTTCTTTTGTTCTTACATATTTTAGAAGACCAAAGAGAAAGACTCCTGCCTCACATTTCTGAGAATCATTTTGGGTTGATGATAAACTTAAAAAAATAAAATAAAACAGAATCTAATATACTTCTGTACAGTATATCTCTCATGATCCAATCTAGATACAACACACAGGTTTCAAAAGTCTAGAATTGGATAGTGTGAAAAGTTGTTTACTCACAGATGCTGTTGCTCCTGTGACAAAATGACTGACAGTCTACTGCACTTGTAACCTTTTATATCGTCACAGGCGTGGAGCACAGGCGAGCTAATGACCTGGTTTGCAGCAGTACAATACAGATCAATCATGTAGGTGGGACACGGCTAATTATGTCACAACACACCGAGGGCAGCGTTTCAAATGAACTAATACTGACGCCACTGAGAAGCGTGTTCGTCACATAGAATTTAATGGACAGACAAATGGCGGCGCATTAAGCGATAATTGCATCTGCGATAATTTGGCAAAAAACAATCACTTTTAATTTGGTGAATTATTGTTTTCAAAATTTGTGTGTCAGTTGTGTTACAGACGCTTAATTTTGCCCCATGAGTTATGATTAGTTGTATCGCTATCTGTGACTGTTTTCAAATCATAATATCCAAGACAAGGCTAATTTATTTATTCATGCAGAAGCAACCCAGGGTACGTAACAAGACACTATATATATATGTATATAAATATACATATATATATATATATTACACATATACACACACATATACAGTACATACATGAATAAACACACAAACACGCATGCATCTGTAATCATAATAGCCCTGAATTATATACATAATAAAGCACAAGTCAATACATTTATGTAAATGCCGTGGCAAAAAGCCATGTTTTTATTCCTGACTTTAACATTCCTATAGTTGGAGTTCTCAGTGGATGTGGAAGAGTGTTCCACATGTGAGGAGCATAAAACTAAACTAAACTAAATCCTGCCTCATTCGTTTTGGTCCTGATGCTTGAGACACACAGTTAACCTGACCTAGATGACGTGAGGACCCCCTCGCTTTCATATGAAACAAGAAAAGAAAAAAAGATCATAAAACTGGCATGTTGTGGCATGTACAGGACATTTTCTTTGTATTTTGCATAATCGTTTGTAAATAATGCCTGTTCAGTAGTTTTCACATGGTGAGTTTTCCACCTGCATGTGAAAGCCAAATCCTATCGTACCTCTGAAGCCCAGCAGGACCTGGTAACAGCTGTGATCGGAGACCATTGGCAACACCAGGTGCCACAGAGAGGCGATTGTGGCTGTAAAGTACCAAACTGTGGCAACAGTAGCTCAGTTGGTGTTGTACTGAGCTCAGTTTGTATTATTGTAGCTCAAAGGCATTAGCCTTTGAGGCAGAGGGTCGTGGGTTCGAGCCCGACCTTCACCATCGACTCCCACTGTCTGCTGTCGTTGTGTCCTCGGCAAGACATTTAACCTCTGGGAACACCAGCCACAGTGGGGCGGCTGCGGCTGTAAAGTGCCAAACTGCCGTTGTGTCCTTAGGTAAGACACTTTTCCCCCATTGCCTAGAATGAGTCTGGTGTGTGTGAATGGTTGGTGGTGGTCGGAGGGGCCGATGGCACATACTGGTTGACTCGCTTCTAGTGTGCCCCAGGGCAGCTGTGGCTACAGTAGTAGTTTATCACCACCGTGTATGGAGTGACTGAAAAGCATGTAAAGCGTCCAAAAAAGCGCTTTATAAAACCGATGCATTATTATTATTATTATAACTGTTGTTGTGCCCTTAGGCAAGACACTCCACCTATATCGCCTGTGTGTGTGTATTATTGCTGGTAGTCGAAGGGAATACCTGCCTCGCTTTTGTCAGTGTGCCCTTGGGCCACAGTGGCTACAGTAGTAGTTTATCACCAGTGTGTATGGAGTGAAGGAATAATGCCATGTTAACCATCACTGACCCCCCTGAAACACAAAGGCTGTGTCACCCTGACGAGAAGCCATCTTTCTGTGGACCCACCACCTGCAGGAGGATCAGGGAAGCGCTGGTGCTATGAGTATTGGGTGGCAGCTCTGATTGTCAGCCCCCCCCAACCCAGAAATGGACTAATAAAGGGTAGAAAATGAATGAATGAATAACCATCATTGAATGTCATTATTTTGTTCACATTGAGTCCCACAACAGTTAATTTAGAATCATACATGGACTTTTGTGACTCAATCCAAAAACTAACATCAGTTGTTACAAATAAAGTTAACGACAGGATTCCAAAGGTTGTGAGCATTACAACGCAGTACAGTATGAGTTTTTTGATGGAGCTAAAGTTGGCTGGACGACACTGTGATACAGTATTAGCTAAATTAGCTCCTTTGTATAAACAAGGTAGAGGGCCACATAACGTGCCTGCTCTAGATATACATTAACGTAACTTTTTCTATGACATCTAAGTCAATTTGTGTATGCATGTTGTAAATATAAATACTGATCTAAAAAAGGTGTATTTTTTGCAAGCATTAGCTATACATTTTGTGATCCATAGTTTGTCTTGCTTGTTAGATTCTTTGACAGAAATTTTGGTCATAGGGTTGGTCATCAGCCATGTCAGGGTCAATATACCTCATTCCATGTCAGATAAGAAAAAAGAAAGCCTTTCAGGAGTTTGATATCACCAGCACAGATCAGAGAATCAACAGTTAAGACAAAAAAAATAAATAACAAATGTTGATAAATGTCCGTACATGTGACAGGCTGACTGCTATGATTATATGTATGTAACTATAGTATTGTAACTGCGGTAATCCTTGACATTCAAAATAGTCTCACTTGTAGGGGTTAGCTAAAACAAATCAATGTTGATAATATTTTTGTTTTGAAAAATATATACAATAAGTTTTTCTTTTAGGTTTATGCGAAGGCAAAAGGAAACCAAAATCCATCCTCTGAAACTCGAAGTTTGACAGTGCAAGCAGATGAACTACATGTCTGCATTACTCCAATAGTTAGTATGTTTGTTCCCTCTAACCTGAACTAAAACAGGGGCCATATTCCTGATCATTACCTTTGGATTACAGCCAATCTCCTTTGGCAATCACACTTTACATAAACCTAAAAAAAGGCCATTTGTTTGTGGTGAATGTTTGTTTCGTTAAAAACCATTTCAGACAGAAGCCGCCTGCACCTGCTGCGTGATGAGTTTTGGGCGTGCAGAAGGCCTCGCCCAGGACCATGGTAATTAGACATTCCTGAGATGGGCTGTTTGCAACAATTACTAACTAATCAGTGCACGGTTTAACTGTGAACGTCATTTCACTTTGTATCGGCCTGATTTAAAACTCTTGCTGTAATTATGCAGTTACCCAGTTATACCTGAGTCAGTCTCTGTCTTTCAGAGTCTGTGCTCCACAAGAACACGTGTGTACTGTATGTAGATCCAGGTCACAGTTCCTTGTGTTCAAATTTTGAGGGGGGCCATAGAAGCTATATTTTTTGGAAACCTTAAATCATTTAGATTGAGGATATCGTTGATTATTATTTAGACAAATATTCTTCACAGCACAGAGCAGCATGGATGACAGCATAAATCTTTGACTTTTTGTAGGACAATAGTTTTACAAAACAGGTTTTTAATTTTCTCCACTTGGGACGGCCGTCTGCAGGTGTTTCAGTTTCCCCTAAAAAACAAACAAACCCAATAGCTGCCCTGTCTCTGCGTCCAGCACTCCCTTTGCCTGGTTAAGTAAAGGTCAAAATAATCTGAAAAAGCGAGAAGCCAAAAATACTTGCATGTAAAAACTAAATAAAGAGCCAAACTTTTTAGAACCAAGAATTTACATGGATTTTATTACATAGTTAAATGTTTGCATTTCGAAAGTTAGATACCCCAGATATAAATGTAGGTGTGATTGGCAGCACATGTGTAAATGTGTATACTTTGAATTGTCATATAAAAGGAAATACAATTTTACTGCTTACTTATTATTCGTGACTGAACACTAACATTCATTATTCTTGAGTGTGTTGTTTCATAACGGCCTGTAATCGCAGCACTTGCAGCTTTCCTTAAACATCAAACTCGGTGGACAATGTTGGAGGTAAGTTCTTCCATTGGCGCAGTTGTAGAAATCCCCCGGGGCACCAGGTTTAGAGTAAAGGCCGGAATTCTTAGTGGCACAGAAATTCTCGTCTGCCCCAGTGGGCGGAGCAAAAGTGAGCTGGATGGGAGGCCCGGCAGAAGGAGGAGTTCTGCCCGGTGTGGGTGGAGTCAGAACAGGACTGGTTGTTCCTGTAATTAAATAAATGCAATGTGTTGTCATAATAATGTAACTGGGAATAACCAGAAAGTACATTATGGTTAATGATGTATATGATAAAGTATTTACAAAAAGGGCCCCACTTTATATTAAAAGGATAATGGTTTAGAGACACAAAAGTTATTGTACATCCACAATGTATGTCAACCTCTTTATAAACCATTTAATATAAACATGATCCAACCAAGGATCTTGGTTAGCAATTGGTTAGACATTTGTCTAACAGGGAAAATTGTTGGAAAATGTGTTCAAAATCTTGGAAATGAAATCAATGACCTGTTGTTGTTCATTATTGTGATATTTTATACAACTGAATGAATTGAAGGTTTCAAACGTTTTTGAGCCTTATGGCCAGGACACCATTGTTGAAACATATTTTGATTTATCTATGATTTTCTGGACAAAAAAATAAGGTAATTGCACCTTTAGGTATTGTGTTTCCCCTTTGCAAGAATCTGTAGATAGTGTTGAGCTTTTAGCGTTGCGTGTTTAGTGTTGATGTGGAAAAAGCAGTCTCTTTTCAACATAAATGTGATTATCATTTGTACCAGATAAGAGTGTCCGTAGGTGATTGACCAGAGCGTAGTTTCCTTCTCCACAGAACTGACCAGTGAAATCATCCAAGTCCAAAGACCAAACAAAAGCCCCTCCAAAGGATTTCTCTTTCAGATATTGAACCTGAATGAAGATAATGGTAAAAAAATCAGTTTTTTAGGTATATACAGTATCTATCACCATCAGGCAAAATAAGATACTTGCTTTAGTTGCAAAACTGTTTTTATTGTCAAATCCAACCCATTCATTCTGTTTAGTGGCATACGGCACTTTCTGGTCAGGTATTATTGTAACTGCGGCTCCTTGTAGAAAAGGGCAAATCTGTAACAAAATACATTCATTCATTAAGAAAAGTTATTGCATCGTTACTTATAAAAACGAACAAAAAGACCTCATAATAGGACCAAAATCCAGCCTCTCTGGTATATTTCCCAGCACTTGCAGGACCACTGGTCGGAGCTCCCACTTGGCTGTTTGAAGAGGCGAGACGAAAGGCGCGTCCGTATGTCGCAAAGCCCATATTGAGCTTATCTGCGGGAACGCCTTTGTCCCGCCAGTTTGTCATAGCAAAGTCCTACACATAAAAAAACACATTCATTTTATTTTTTAGATATGTTTTCCTTTTTCATCTGGCATCTGGTTGCCCTGTACTTATCCCACTTACTGTATTCAAGTAAACATTGTCCCCAGTATCGAGAGAGCCCTTGTAAAGAGGGCTGTGATGTCCAGTGACTGCCTCCCAGGTGCCATGGAAATCATACGTCATCACATTTATGAAGTCCAAGTATCTGCATAATTATAAACACAATATTAGCCTCAATTTCAGATTGATGGAAAAGAACCACTCATAATAAAACACAAATAAGTAATCTTTATCTACAGCGCCTTTCAAAGACCAGAGTCATAAAGCACTTTACAATTGTGGGCATTTGTCTCTCACTCCACACAGAGATGGGAGACAGTACAGGAGACGCATGCCAGACTATTGTACGTGCACATGGAGGAAACCTATGCAGACACGGGGAGAACATGCAAACTCCACTCAGAAAGGCCCTGTTCCGAGGGGATTCAAACCCAGGACCTTCTTGCTGAGAAGCGAGAGTGCTATCTGATCCGCCATTGTGCCACCCATTTGTGATTACATTATATTGTCGGGTAAAAACAAAGGATGATTCAAAGCATGTATTGGAATAGATAAAACTAAATTAAATGTTTATACTTTGCAATTTCTGCCACTTCATAACCAGCGTCAGTGGTGGCTTTTCCAGCGGCCACAGCAGCCGACAGCAGCAGTCTGGGACGACTGGTGGACACTGCCTCTGCTTCATATGCCTCACGAAGTTCCTGCACAAAATCCTGATATATTTACATTTATTATAATATTCTAATTGAGAACAACTGTTTTATGGAATGGAAATTGTAGGGATTAATTAACGGAGATCAATGTTTTGTGAATACAGCTATTTGTCTCCCTAAGTGAAGATCGGCGTTTCCGTATTCTGAACCTGGGATGTTTTGATTTGTTGAGTTCATTAAGATCCCCATAAACCACTAATGTGCTTTTCTCCTACAAATCATTACATGCATTTAAAATATGTATATACAATTGAAAGAATACACACATACCCTCTCACATACAAACACGCACAACATTTATCAGGCAGAAGGATAATTGTTGATATTGTGTCTGATAGTGTGTCTTTGTACGTGTGCAATATCTAGATCACGGTATAATGCAACATATTCCAAGACTAAACTCTCCAATGAATAATTTACCCAAGATATTAAGTTAAATTAAACAATAAAACAATTGTGCAACACCACAACAGTAACACATTCCTGTCCCTGTGCGTCCCTATTCTACACAATACGTATCTGAACTGGTAAAACAATCTTTTATCATTATTACTACAGTATACAGTATGAGTGCATTTGTCTTCCTACTGTACCTTACAGAGCAGTGTGAACCTCTGCTTATCCTCTGGGGGACTGCCTCTAGCAGCGGGGTACTCCCAGTCCAAATCCAGTCCATCAAAACCGTTGTCCCGCAGAAAGCGAATGGACGACTGGATGAAAGTATTTCTGTTGGCTTGTGTCGAGACCATGGCTGTGAATCTACATACAAAAATCATCTCATGGTCAATGAGGGTATGCACATGTTTTTACACATTTGATTCTCTTACTTTTGTGATCCCAAATTCCATCCTCCGACTGCGATCAACGTCTTCAGATTCATATTTCTTTAAAATCATAATTACATTGTTAATTTGGTTTCTATAGTTCTGGGCATGGTGTACTAGTCAAGGGCCGGAATAAAAATTTAACTGAAAACTAGAACCAAGAAAACTTTTTGTTTGGTGGTGGAATCTTGGGCGTATTGAAGGCTACTAGAAAGATGGGATTTTTTGCTGTGCATAATGATTCTAAGAGCAAAATCAGCTGAAGAAAAACAAACAATTTGGTAATAAAAAGAGGGGGTACTGTTGTGCCCAGCTCTATACACACACACACAGTATAATAACAAAATGTAACACCTGACCTTGTTTTTAGTCCATTGAAGGCCTTGTACATTTCGATGTCATTCCACTCCACAGTGACCAGTGCGTGGTCCTGACTGATGGCAGCGAAGGCGAAGATCAAGTGGGTGCACAGGTTTGGATCCACGTTGGCCGGAACAAACCTGCCATTCTCAGGCCTGTACTGGGACCAGTTTGTGTAGTAGCACACAAGTCTAGTGCCTGAGACTTTACACACAACATGAGCAGGAGAGACACACATTTCTCCAGTGTGAGATCAATAAAGTCAGTCTTATCTTATATTCATCTGTTTGTGTAATCTGGACTCATTATTTTTGATTTCACTATTCTGTGTTTTCAAAGCGGCTCAATATGAGTATGATGGAATATCTGCTATGGTGCCTACATAAACCTTTCAACCTAATGTATCTATATTCTCACCCTCATACTGTAAGTCAGGAGTCTCCAACCTGTGGCTCGAGACGGGAGCTTCCAGTTGCTCAGCACCCCCTTTCAGTATAGCTCCCCACAGGAATCAAGAATTGAACACTAACACATAACTATTATAACTATCTTTTTCATGAATGCAGGGATACTGTACTATATTGATATATTCTGTGTGTTCTCTATGATTTTATCCAATAGTTATATGGACTACAATTATGTTACAAGTGTTAAAAAAGTAGCTCTCTTTAAAAAATAAATAAAAGTAGCTCTCCAATTGAAAAAAAATTGGAGATCCCTTGTATTTGTATTGAATAGAAATACAAGGCTTGCCCTCCCCTTGGCAGTGACTATGGCTCAACAGACTTGACCTCAGTCCTGCCTCTCCGCCCATGGGAGTGGATCCCTCTCTCTCTTTTCTCCCTCTAGTTTTTTGTGTTTTTCCTTTACTGATCCAGGAAGCTCTAAGGACAGGGGATGACCCAGACATCGGACATTTTTATGGGTTCTATTTACTTGATTTTCCATCCAGCTGTTAGTATATAAACAAATCTGCAATTCCCTGGTGTCGTAATTTTGGGCTACCCTAAAATGCATTTTAATTGAAGGCATTATGGATGGAGATTCAATATCCCATTTTGGTAAAGCCATGGTAAAACCTCATCTTTCTTTCATTGATTAAATCACAGGGGTTTATGCCATGGAGAAAAGCTTGGCAGGACCCACCCACTCATAAGTAAACAAGGAATCTTTTCATCAAGGATTAGACAAATTTGGTGTGACGGCTTAACCCAGAATTACGTGTTTGATATGCATGTAACTTTTCTAGACACTAAATAAATCAAGTCCAAATGACTGAGAATACGTTTATATGGCTTTAAACTTACCCAGACAGGTGCACATAAGAGAGAGAGCTGCAAGATAGGACTGTATCTAAGTAGTAGTAAACCAAAAATATGAAAGGTATTTAAAATAACATACCTGCAAGTATAAGTAGTTTCCTCATTGTGTGCTGTGTCACTGTGTTTCCCCATGAAGACAGCAGCACCAACTTACAAACATTTTACTAACCATTAACTGGAAGCAAACATTTACTGGACATTAGACTCTTGCCTTTTTTCAAAACACAAAAACCACACCACACTCAGTAATCTTGGGCAACTTTATTTTAGCGCACAGTCAGCTCTTTGATATGAAACGCAGACAAATGAAGCGCCCCTAAGCCCAGTCACAACATTTGCACCTGTCATTGAAAACCAGATTGGCGGGGCAGTTTTGCAGGAACGTGAGCCCGTTGGAACACTGGTAGAATGTGTTTTTGTTTCCGAGGTTCACGTACAGACCGTCTAACTTCCCAGAGCAGAAACCACTCGCAGACACAGAGGTGGTGGTTGTCATGGGTGCAAATGTGGTGGTGGGTGCGGGGGCTTCTGTAGTGGTTGGTACTTCGGTGGTGGTTGGTACTTCGGTGGTGGTTGGTACTTCGGTGGTGGTTGGTACTTCGGTGGTGGTTGGTACTTCAGTGTTGGTTGGTGCAGGGGCCTCTGTGGTGGTTGGTGCAGGGGCCTCTGTGGTGGTTGGTGCAGGGGCCTCTGTGGTGGTTGGAAGAGGTTCTCGTGTTGTTTCTGGAGTTGGGACGTCTGTCAAAGCAAAAAAAAAAATAGAAGATAATCCTTCATTCAACCGACAGTGGGGGAATTTCAATTTGATGAATACACAACAAGGCATGCAGCGTACAATTACTTCCGCGCTCCTTATGGGCAAAGTGGGATAAAGTGTCTTGCCCAAGGACAAAACGACAACAGACATCAGTGGGAGTTGGTGGAGAATGCTCGAACCCACAACCTTTCGGCTCAAACGCCAATGCTCTACCAACAGAGCCACTGTCATAGCCTGACCAGCCAGATCCTTATGATTTTATCAATACATGAGAAAGAGGAAGTTTGGATGCCTTTGATTGGACAGAAAACAGGAAGTGGCTTTTACCGCTTATGCCAACAACAAAAACGCAAAGGCAAATCTACAACTGATTTGAGCCAGAATCCCTGCTTGTCCTTTCTTGTGCTTCAAAAGTAACAGTTTTGAGATGTTTTTACTCAAACTCTCACCACCAAAAATGAGATAGAAGGACGAGGAAGTGTTACCAAACATATTTCAGGTTCTGTGATTGGTCGGCAGATTTTCCAGCAACAGGTACTGGGAAAAAAATTCTTACATAGTGTTTTTTTGGAAACTCTATTACTTACTTAATTAACTATCTATTATCCTAAATAATAGATATTTTTGTGCACACCGATGACATTGACATTTCCCCACTGTAGGAGGAGTAAAGTCTTATTTATCTTATCTTACAGTGTGACATGGGCCCTTCTGACATGAAGAGAGGCTTAAATAATCATGACACATTTTAAAGTGTGTCACAATTACATATTTAGTCTTATGAAACAGAGCCCTAAGTATGGTCATGTGTTTTAGCTGAAATTACTTCTAACTGGCCTAATTATACGTTACCTGTTCCCAGAAGTGAGCGTGCGTGGTTGATAAGTGGATAGGCGCCTTGGTTACAGAACTGCCCTGAAAAGTCATCCAGGTCCAAAGCCCAGATAAATGCCCCTCCAAAGTTGTTCCTCTTCAAGTAATCCACCTGTATTCAGAGTGTGCAAAAGACATTCTCCTGGTGAGTAAAAACCCTTAAGAGTAGTTTGGCAAACACTGTTAAACCCGTATGGACCTTTTAGTGAAATGTTCATGTGCTTGATTCGAAATATGGTTTAGGCCTAATTCTGGACTCTCACTTGCAATTTGACAGTCACATTAACAAGATTGTAAAAAGGACAAAATCAAGTTTGTATAGTTTCAGATTATTAAGAGATTGTTTACCTTTCAACGCAGCCAATATCTTTCTACACGCCATGATTTTTTCTCAGATAAGTTACTGTATCACCTGCTGGTCCCAGGCCACAGCCTCTTCCATCAAACCAGTAAGAATGCTCTACAACAGAGCCATAAAAATACTGGACAAAAAGCCAATAAGAACACACCATTGCCAGGTGTTGCAGAGACTACATTTTCTTAGTTTTGATAATTTTATTAAATTTTGTAATTGTAAATTATTGTACAAATGTTTGCACAGTCGAGCCCCTGCTGTCCTGAGTGCTCTCTTAGTTCCTCTGAGATCCGTCACACGGGGCTCCTCTAACGGTAATGTGAAAGTGCCCCTCAGGAGGACCACATTCGGACAGTCGGTCTTCTCGGTCCAGGGGGCAAAGCTCTGGAACTCTTTAAGCCCTCAGCTAAAACTGAACTCTGACTGGGCTGGTTTTAAACATGAACTAAAGCGATTTCTTAAAACAAACCAGGTGTGTGAGCATCAATGAGTTGGAGAACATCTGCTTTTGTATAATGTGAATTTTATAATGTATAATGTGTTTTAATTGTGTTAAAAGCCCTCCTAGGGACGGACATTGCAAACTAGCCTTGGCTATAAATGTTGTAGTGTTTCACATGTTGATTGTGTTCACTTGTCCCTATCAAATAAATCAATAAATAAATAAAAAAATAAATAAAATATCCTCATTAGAACATTTTGGGGCAGGACTGCACTACCAAAATGTTGATTGAGCAGTATATTATTACGAATCTTTATTTTGTGTACAAAAAAATGACAATGTATCACAATGTATATAGTCAGTCAGTTTCTCAGAGCAGACGTGTAGCGACAAGAGATACTTTAACAGTTGGTCAAAGTCTGAATGATGATGTTCTAGGACACCTCCAGATGCTCCTTGAACCGATAAGTTAGTTATCAGTGCCTCACAGGTATAAATGAGCGTTCACAAACAGTTAACAGCCTGAAGGAGAGGAACCTGTGGCAGTACTTTGCCCGCAGAGCAGCTGTTCGATTCCACTTTCACGTTCGAGCCCTTTCTGTGTTTTTGCATGTTCTCCCTGTATCTGCGTAAGTTTCCTCCGGGTGCTCTGATTTTGCCTACCATTTAAAACACGTTGAATAGGTCTGACTGTAAGCACAGATGGTGATGGTTGGCTTTTTTGTGCTAGAGTGCTTGGCGTTTGGAGTGTGGAGTGAATGGAAAAAAACATAGTAAAAAGCCTTGTGGGACCTTGGTCTGCGAAATGCTCTGTATAAAGTTGACTTACTCACTTACAAACATACAACCCCATAATCCTCATGAAGTTGATCACAGACATTGGGCCTCATTCACGAACGGTTCTTAGGAACAGATTTGTACGTAAATCCTACTTACGCGGTTTTTACGAAGAAAGTGGCATTCACGAATATTTCTTGTAACCAGAATTTCTCTTGGGCAAGTATGTTCACTTGCCGGGGTTGTCCTCTTTGGTGAAGTTGAATAAAAATACAACATTCCAGTGATATTTCCGTCATATCGATGTATGTATTTATTTATTTGTAGTAATCTTTATTAGTAATCTTTATTTATATACCGCCTTTTTCACTGCAGATCTGGCCTACTTTTTAATTCATTTTGAAATGAAATGTGCCAACGCTTTATCAAATACATTGGAAATCTTGCCGTGTATTAGTGACCCCTTCCTATTTATAGGGGGCATTTCTTTATTCACGGGCCACAGAACAACGGCATATATACTGCTGCTGCAGGAGGTTACTGGGTCCGCGCTGAGTCTCTGCGCTGGTCTCTCCTATGGATCTATACTGGTCTGCACTGGTCTCTCCCATGGATCTAGACGGGTCTGCACTGGTCTCTCCCATGGATCTAGACGGGTCTGCACTGGTCTCTCCCATGGCTCTAGACGGGTCTGCACTGGTCTCTCCATACGGGTCCGCGCTGGTCTCTTAAGTCTGGTCTATGCGGTCTCTCTTCGGTCCGCGCTGGTCTCTGCGCACCGGTCTCTCCAGTCAGGTCACTACAGTCTATGCGGTCTCTCCTATAGGTCCGCGCTGGTTTCTGTGTGCTGGTCACTCCAGTCTCTCCTCGGGTCTGCATTGGTCTCAGCGCTGGTCCGCGCTGGATCTCCCTCCCAGGGTCCAAAATATTTTGAGATTAATCTCAAAACATTTTGAGATTCATCTTTAAAATAATACATAATATATTTTTAAATTAAGCTCATAACATTTTGAGATTAATCTCATCATATTCTTAGATTAATCTCATAATTTTGCTAGTTCGACTTTATTATCATAATATTTCGACTTTTAAGTCAACATTTTATAACTTTATTCTCAGTCTGGTAAAAGAAGAAAAAAGGGTGACTCTTTTGCTCCGTGTAACTCTTTGCTTTAGGCCTGTTGCTGTTTCCGTCTGCACACGGCCCTGCATCCCCTTATATGGGCATTAGTGGGCGGTTACTTATGCTAAGTACCTATGCTAATGAAGCACCTGGCACGCGCGCTGTACTTACGAGGAAATGGGATTCATCAATCTGAGAGAACAGCTGCGAACAATTCAGCGGCTTACGAGTGCGTTGATGAATCCCACGTGGGGACTTCTTAGAAATCTACTTAAGGACAACTTGAGAAGAAAGTTGAGTAGTTTCTTACGAAGTTATTCGTGAATGAGGCCCATTGTGTTTGGCCGAAGACGGTGTATTCAGGGACAGTGCACCTTAAGCCAAGTTAGGAATGGCTTGTTGATTTAATGTTTTAGGTAAAACAAGACATCTAAGGCTTGTTCCTTTGACTCCATGAAAGACAAATAGACTTATGATTCAAGCTTAGATCAAGCACTTCCTCTTCTGGGTCTGTAGTTTGTACATTGTAATAATTGTCTTGTAAAGTGGATAATTTATTTATCATGAAGCACATTAAGCACGCAAGAAAATAATGATAATTAAAGCCGCAAGCGGCGATGAAAGGCCTCGCCCCTCTTGCGACCGCCTCCTGGGCGCCAGTCCCACAAGCGTCACGCAGACGAATTGGCAGCCCGATCTGACCAGGATTACATATATAAAAGCTCATTTATATGATAAAGTGCGTCCCTAGTGGTCACCTCCGGGACATGCACCCTCTACGTAGAGTAGTATTTTGCTCGTACAGATGTAAAGATTTGATTTTGCAACTTTGGTGAAGATCGGAAAAGTTTAGGTCAGAAGCCTTACATAGGTGGCGCTGTAGAGTCATATTAGGTGTGTGTTTTCACACCATTACTCTCAGGCCATTACCAACTGTTAGTGATGTGAGTTTCAGCTCTGTAGGTCTGAGCCTGTGGTCAGGAGAGCATCAAACATGGAGAAATTCCCCACTACCTTGCATGAAAACAATAACAAAATTCTAACTTTTATGCGATGATTACATAACTTCAATCCGTCCAGATATAGAAATGACATGGTAGAAGTCTGTGCGATGAAAATCCAGGGACTAGTACGAAGCCAAAAATGCAACACATTGAACTGCCTGTAGGTGGCGCTGTTGCACTCACAGTTGTGTGTTGCATATCGTTGTGTTCAGGGTCATACGTTGTATTTCTGAATTCATTTTTAGCCTCATCGGACAAACATTTTGCCCTAAAAAGCTCATTTATTCACTTTCCAGCGCCCCCAGTGGTCAGGTGTAGGACTTACAACTTTTGCGTAATGTAATGTTTTGCTCGTGTCGGTCCAGAGAATACACTCAGCGATTTTCGGGCCGATCCGAGCACTAGTGCCCTATTACTTTCCGACAGGTGGCGCTAAAGAGCTCAAATTGGGCGAATGATTTTAGTGTCATTGCGTTCAGGCCATAACCTAATATTACTGATGTGAGTCTCAGCTCTGTAGGTCTGAGCCTGTGGCCCTCAGGGCTCAGCGAAAATGGCCAAAACGAAGGCCTTATTCGCCATGGCGAGGGACGAAAACGGTGAAGATTTTCTAACTTTTTTTCGATGATTATATAACTTCAATCCGTCCAGAGCGGGAAATGACGTGGTAGAACTCTGTGTGATGAAAAACCAGGGACTAGTTCGAATTTATAAATGAAAAGTCAAATTAGTGGCGAAACTTCGGCCCCTCATGGCCGACTTCCTGTCGGTCCCAGACATGTGCTTAGAACGGCTTTTATGCTCGTCTCATAGAGATCTATCACTCATCCGAATTTCGTGTACCTACTCCAATATTTAAAAAAAAATCCCCAGAGGGTCAAAAAAAATGAAATTTCTAGGGGGCGTTATAGAGTCGGCGAGCGTCGGACAATCTGGAAACGTTCATTTTATCAAATTTTTCGCCGGACCGGTCGTTTTAGACCCCCCATGTGCAGACTTTCGTGCATGTCTTCAGGGTCAAAAATCGAATTGAAGATGCGGGAAAAAAAGAATAATATGAAACCGGTGAATAACAATAGGCCTCCCCAATACTTCGTATTGGCTCGGCCTAATAATGTTCAGAGAAATGAGGTCATCGGAGTCACCACCATCTTATCACATTGAAGATTCTGAACTCTTTACAAAAGCTATCTAAACTTTATCAATGAGAGAACTGTGTTTCTCCAGGTTTAGAAACAGACATCAATGAGGTCATAAAACATTAGGATTATTTTACCTGTGAACTTTGCATGTAGCTGCAAAATGCTACAAATACCGGTGCATTTACAGTTGCCGCTGTTCATTATTACATACTGTCCTTTCCATACAAACACATGAGGAGGTTGTGGACAATTAAAGCTTACCTTAATTTCAAGGCTTTGTTTGTTGTCAAATCCAACCCAGTCACTGCCTTGAATCGCATAAGGCACCTTCTGCTCATCAATCCACTGAAGACTGGCCCCTCTGAGAAACAGGCAAATCTGTGGAGAAACAAAAAGTATCATTGAATTGAGGTTTTATTGAAATCAGAAATGCTTGGATAAGGCCATGCTGTAAACACTGACCTCATAATAGGACCAGGATCCGGCCTCTCTAGTGTAGGAGCCTGCGGGGGCCGGTCCACTGGCTGGGGCCCCGACATTGTGACTGGAAGACACAGTACGGAACGTGCGTCCGTAGGTGGCCAACCCGAGCAGGAGCTTCTCTGCAGGGGCCCCTTGGTTTCTCCAGTATGTCATGGCAAAGTCCTGTTCAGTGGAAGATGTGCACTTTGATATTTTTTTACTGACAGCAGTTTCTTTTTTCCTGGGACATCAGAGAAAGCTTGTTTGATAAGAAGGCGGTGGAAAATGTAAACTAAAAATCTTTATTGGATAGTTTGGTTTTTAAATCCAGTGTCTTTTGTGATACATATTGATAGTGTAGAGGTGGGAAATAAATCCCATTTGATGATAATTTAATGTTGGTAAATTAGACTGTGTATAGTTTTCAAAAATGAATCATGAAACTCTTGCCTTAAGATTCTCATAATGCTAAAATAAATAGTCAAAGTAACAAAAAGGATGGCAATACTCCCAAAAAATGGTATATTATCATCACAATCATAACTGTTTTAATTCATTTTTTTGTTGTTCTTTTTAATAGGAATCTTGAATCACAACCACACAGCATGTATTAGCAAATTTAGGACAGATTTACCAGCTTATTAACCAATAACTAAAAAAAATAAGCTTGCATCACTGGGCAATACTTACTGTATACAAGCTCATATTTTTGAAGTAACTGGTTTAAATACAGGATCCCATAACACTAGGGCAAGGTCGGACATAGGCACAGGAGAGAAGAATTCTGCTCACCACATTGTAGTAGATGTTGTCGCCTTGGTCAAAAGAGTTCTTGTACAGGGGGCTGTTGTGTCCAGTGAATGGGTCCCATGCTCCGTGAAAGTCGTATGACATGATGTTCACAAAGTCCAGATATCTGAAAACAGCACGAGAAATCACAGAAGGCCACACAGAGTCTCAGAGGCTTATAGCATTAAAACATAGGTAGGTTTTTTTGAGAGTCAGTCTATGGACTGTCCGCAACATTTTAGGACTTTTATCAATATCTATGGGCATTGCTCACCCCGCTCCCTATGAACCAAGAGCTCCTATGTGTTTGGTGTTATTGCGTTTGATCGCGATGATCTCTGGTCTGTTGTTGGTGAATTGACAACTGTGTAAAGTTCTCGAGACGACTGCTGCTGTAACTTAGAGCTATACAAAAATACATCTAAATAGACAATTGAATGGACTACACTGTTCCAGCAACAATTTTCTGACTTGCTGTGAATAACCTTGAGATCTACTGTCAGAAAAAAACATATATCTTTATAAATCCAGACTTTTAAACAAAGCTCTTAGGATTGTCAATGGCTCTTCTGGCCACCCTGGGAAAGCCATGTTCCAGCTTCTTCCCTCTGGCAGAAGATATCGCTCTCTGAGATGCAGGACATCTCGTTACGCTAACAGTTTTTATCCACAAGCTGTTATCAGTGTGAACAGAGCACTTTAATGATTTGCACTTGTTTTGAAACTGTTTTAGTCGATCAATTTCACAGTGACATTTGTTTACTGTTTTATTTGTTTTATTTCTGTCTTTTAATGTTGTTTTATGTCTGTATTTGTCTGTGCACACTGGAGACTTTTGCTAATGTATTCCAATGTGTTTTTTTTTTTTACTGCAAATGGCAAATAAATTGAATCTGAATCTGAATATATTGCAGATTTTTTTGCATCTTAGATGTCCAAGGGTTTTGTGAAAATGAGACGTTTGTAGTTCTTTAAATCAATGTTTTTCAACTAGTGGGCAGCGGTACATTAGTGTGCATTTGGAAAGGATCCACATAGCTCAAAATAATGTGAAGAGAAAATAATGTGAGAAATGTGAAAGACTTTTTAATGAGAATAACGTCGCTTTGTTAATAAAGGTTGCAAATGTTGCGAAATATGAAAAAACAAAAAAAAAGTCTCTCTTTTCTTAAACTGTAATGTTTGCATCAGTTTAAGTTGTTTTCAATGAAAATGTGTGCCATGGCTCAAAAAGGTTGGGGAACGCTGCTTTAAAACAATATTTTTAGACATCAACACAATAAAAATGTGTGAATTGTGTCTTTGTTAAATTGTTTCCCATTTCTTCCAACCAACAAAACAACAGCCGCGTCACACTCATCGGTATGAACTCACTTTGAGACTTGGGCGATCTCATATCCATTGTCAATGGTTGTTTTCCCAGCAGCCACTGCAGCCGTCAGCAGGAGTCTGGGGCGCCCTGTCTCAGCCCCTTCTTTTTCAAAAGCAGCAAACAATTCCTAAATATAAACATTAGCAAAATAGAATGAATGCAAGGGGAAAAATATTGCACACACAGAAAAAACTAAAGTAAAGATTTGAACTGAGTGATGTTTATGAAGGAAAATCTGTCGCCTGTCTTGACCTAACCAACAATCTCATAAATTTTTGGGCAATTAAGGACGACAATGCATATTTCAAGTTTGTCATTTTATGTTTTAGAATGTGAAATAATATCTTAAATTGAAAATATACAGTATGTTGACACAAGTGTTACGGAAAAAATAATATTTGCCTGCTCTAACCCTATGCTGCCACCAGAGGAAAGATGATTTTGGAAATGACCAGCTCCAAACACAGCCATGCGATTGGAGAAAATGCCAGTTCACCTGAGGAATAGCCAAAACTCATTTATGGGCAACGCTTTTGTTTTAAAAGGCAGAAAAAACTGCTCAGAGTGTGATGTCATAGTGGGACAATGACATCACACTATGACAGGACAGGAGATCCTCAACTGAAGGGGCGGAGTTGTAGCCTGACTCTCGCCAGACTCTTGTAGTTCCGCCATGCTCCACCAGAGGCGTTTGTGAAGTGCAACGAATTACATGGGTCTGGCGAGAGTCAGGCTAGCGGAGTTGTGTGTGCTTTACAAATAAATCTTCGACTTCTGAACTCCTACCTGAACTCCAATCTCCTGCCAGAGACTAAATTGCTTGAAATAAGGATCTGCCAGTGTGTTGCACAATTTTTATCAAGATATGAATAAGATAATGAATTTAAACAAGATAAGATAAGCTACCACTACTACTACTACTACTACTACAACATACAAACTACTACTTCTTCCACTCGTACTAAACTAAACCATGTACATTAACTTACTTACTACTACTACCGCTACTACATCTAAACTACTTTCTTTGGTTATAAAAAACTGGAATTGTCAGTGTGTATATGTAAAAGAACAAAGAGTATTTCCAAACCTGGCAGAGGAGGGTGAATCGGTGCTTGTCCACTGGAGGACTGCCGCGGGACCCTGGATACTCCCAGTCCAGGTCCAGACCGTCAAATCCATGAAGCCTCAGGTAGCGCACAGAGGACTGGATGAACGTCTGCCGATTGGCTGCAGAGAACGCCATAGCTGAAAACCTGGAGGAAACAAGTACACTTCAGTTATTAACAGTTGGAGGAAGACGACGGTTTTGTGTGAGAGGATTTTCTTACTGAGTTGTTCCAAAGTTCCAGCCACCAACAGCCAACAACGTTTTCAACTGGGGATTTCTGGAAGAAGTGCAAATAGTATAGCTTAGACATAAGTTAGGTCCACAATATACTGTTATCATATGGGGTCCAGCTATGAGCAAACAATTTAGAAATCCCTGGTTGTTGTAAAATTTACAACCAAAAAGCTACCAAACAGTTGTTAGTTATTATACCATGTGCAACTTAGTCTAATTGCCGTAATATTACTACAACATTGTATATGCTGCTAAAAGCGTGTTTCCATTAAAGCTGGGGTACCTAAGTTTCAAACCACAAAAAAGGAACTATGTACTACAATCCTTCTCCCTTGGACTTAACTATGGACTTTATAAACTGCAATCTGTCTACATCCATGACCCCCGAGCACATTTTACTACATATTTCTATATCGCCTGTCACTGTTTCCTTTGACACGTTGTGGTTTGTACTTTCAATAAAAAATAAATAAAATAAATAAAATAAATAAAATAAATAAAATAAATAAAATAAAAAAATAAAAAAAATAAAATAAATAACGTAAATAAAATAAATACATACATTCATTCTTAACTAGTTCCTTGCTCTCTAAACTTCTTTGTATAGTTTTTAAATGTTTTGTCTGTCATGGTTTAGTTGCTTTTTTGTGTGTAATTTGTTTACCCTGTGAATTCCTCAGATTGACTTCCTGTTGTGCAATGACCTTCCCCGCCCTCACACTCATCACCTGTATCTTGTTAATCCAGTGTATGTGAACCCTGTAAAGTCTCTCACTCCCTTCCTGTCCTGTCATTGTCAGTGCCATTTCTCTTTCAGGTTTTTTCTGTTTTTGATCCCCTGTTTGGTTCAGCATTGCACTTTTCTCTGGATTTTGCTTTTATTAAATCACTTTATTTGCAGTGCTGCATTTTGGGTTCCTTTCATTTTGCCAGCTAACACTATAAGCTCTCAGCCCAAAGCGTCAAAAAAAATTCTTAGGCATGTTGGGAAAAGTGAGATACCCCAGTTTTAAATGGCTTAACGGATAAATGGTTGGTAGAAATTGAGAAAGGGGAATGTCAAATCCGCCCCACAAGACGATTTTTAGTGGTCCCTAAAACTATTTTCAATTATCCGCTTACATCAACTATTTCCTACAGCCAAATTTAATTTATTCAAAAATTAGTTAAATAATTGAATATAAAACAAAGAGTCCAGTTTTGGTTAAATGTAAACAATAAAAGTCATGTCCAAATACACTCATAATGTAAAAAAAAAAACAAGAATAAGAAAAAATAAATCAACTTTTTTGGCCCCCAACCAGTGTTTGACAGTCCTTCTCTGTATGAAGGATCAGCGGCTCTAGTCTGCGCTCCCTGTTTCTTTCATCACATCCCAAAGCCACAAAGCGTGTGTGGAACATTCTTTCCCCTCACTTGTTTTTGAGAGCGTTGAACTGCTGGTACAGAACATCGTCGTTCCACTCGAAGGGCGACAGCTGGTTGGCCGAGTTGATGATGGAGAAGGCGTAGATCAGATGAGTGCAGAGGTTCGGGTCCACGTTGTCAGGGGTGAATCGTCCGGCCCCTGGTCTGTACTGGGACCAGTTGGTGAAGTAGCACACAAGTTTGGAACAAGATACTTTGAAAGAAGAAAGTGACATATTTCAGTTTGTTAATATTAATGCCTCTATGTGAATCCAAAATGTACAATATTCTACTAAGAAAGTGTGTGAATTTGCCAATGCTACTTATCTACCTGACACAACCACTTCTATTTGGATTATTATACTATTTAGGTTTTTCCCAACTAATTGTTTATTGAGACAATCCAGTATGATATAAAATGTACGTTTTTTTTTTTACTTCACATAAACTTGCACATGCTGAGAAGAGGCTTTGTGAATCAGAAAATTGTCTAATGAGTGCCCGATGATAGGTGTTTAAAAAGTAGCTTTTAATCAATCAATAAAATCAATCAATAAAACTCCGAACATTTTAAATATTGTTCAAAAGTTTATTTTAAATCATTTATTTCTGTAATTAAATTTAACATGTGAAACCAAAACATGGTATAGATTTGTTGCATGAAAAGTGACATATGCCAAGTGTTTATTATATGTTTTATAAAAATGGCTTAAAGTCCATTTTCAAAATAATGTAAGCTTAGAGACATTTATCAACATTATAAAAACAAAAGCTTGATATGTCTCACAGTGTATAATCCGCTAGTGTACCATCCTTGAACCATGTGCAATTATAGCTTCAGAGTTGTACTTTATCACATAGTATTTCAATATCTTTGTCTTAAAAAATAGATTCTGTTTGATGTGTGCAACCTTTTTCTCCTATATTCTGCGGTAATGTGCACAACAATGACTTTGAAATCTCCCACTGTGGGACTAATAAAGCTCTATCTTATCTTATCTTGAAATGAGTCTGTATTAGTTTCACATTGTAAATTGAATAACAGAAGTAAAAAGACTTTTGAACGATATTTTAAATGTACAAGTTCCATCTCTATGAAGATATTCTCCAGCCTCCACGGGCTTCACTTGAGCTTTGTTTTGGTCAAAATGTATACAAAATCCCTACTATTAAAATGTTCTTTGGCTTTTTTGTTGCAATAAAATGTGCTGACATAGAGAAGCTAGCCCTATCCTATTTTTGCAGAATCCAGGTGTTCATACCATATTGAAGGCAGACCAATAGAATGAGTCCTGTAAAAATACAAAAGCTGTTGGTTAACTTTGTCATGCACAAAAAACATACATTTACGTGATCTTGACATGTTTACCAGTCAGTAATCTTGCCATCTTGCACTTCTCTTTTGGCCTATAATATGAATAAAGAAACAAAAGTCAGCATACACATATATAATGAGGTATACAGTCATGGTGGAAGAGTACTTACCGATGTATGTGCCGGGGAGTTGTCCGAGGAGACGATGGAATGCTCACACTATATATATATGTATGAGATAAGCTGAGGACAAAGTGTAACTCCTTTATAGGAAGCACCAAAGCAACTTATATTGTACCTTGTTAATATATGTTAATATAACCTCTGTGTCTGTGTGCATTAGCTGATAAATCTCACTGTGGTATTGTTCAGTGATGAAGGAAGATGGCTCAGTTCTGGTTTTACACAGAACTAAAGAGAAGTACACATGTTACATCCTCTCATTTCGTCACGAGGCAAAGTGAATTGTAAACATGTCATCAAAAACATATTACGAAGGATAACTGGATTAAGGCTGTTCTGAGATTTAAGATTAGGTGTGAAATGTCTATATTAGTTCATCTTTGATAGAGCTGAAGTTGGCTGAATGACAACGGTTTACTCACCAGATACATTAGTACCATACAATCAAATTTAAATGTCAGTTTAGTCAAACAATCCAGGTACAACATGTCTGGATTACACTTGTCTTCATGATCTTACAGACTACTTTTGGGTTAGCAAGGCAGAGCTAACCCAAATGAGGGCCGCAATTGGCCCTCGGGCCTTGGTTTGGACATGCCTGTATTAAAGTACACAAAATCCATATTATTGGAGACAGCTCAATGGCAGATAGATAAGATGTCCTTTTGCCATCCTACGACTGCTTATCTGGCAGTGATGGTCCAGGGTTCATATTGTCTCTAACTAATGCACAGCGCTGATAAGGCTGTGTCTAGAAATATGACTCAAATTGCCATATTCTTACAAATCAGCTAAAAGTGCATACATTTGAAATACCAACAGTAGTTGGAAGACAATTGAAATATATAAATATTATGTTATATATGGGCTGCACCTCCCTCAGTCCTGGATCTACACCTGTCCGTCTGTGGGATCAGATCCCTCCCTCAACGTGGGCCTCGCTGAGGTTTCTAACTTATTTCACACTGTTTTTGTTGATTGAGATGGGACCCCGCTCCCATCTCTGTGTGGAGTGAGAGGACAAGTGCCAAAAAATAACAATTGTAAACCGCTTTGTGACTCTGGTCTGTGAAAGGCGGTATATAAATAAAGCTTACTTACTTACTTACTTACTTATGTTTTTCCTTGCCGATGCAGGAGGGTTTAACAACAGGGAACTGAAACATTACACCTTGGTCATCTGCATATGAACCAATGACTCTTATGTGTTGGTGAATCGCCAACTTTGTAACGTTCTTGTGATTTAGGGCTACACAAACTGAATTATATTGAAATTGAATTATTACATTATACAGACTTTTGTCATCAAAGCATACTGGAACACAGGCAAAGCACCGGGGAGAATCTGGTGGCCGAAACAGAATATCTAAAAAGTCTCCTCCAGGTCTTATACTGTAAGTATTATTGACATTGGCAGAAAACATATAATGCTTAGTTATTTGGGCCACTTCACAAAAACATAATCACATTCAAATTAGGGTTAGAGCGATTTTGGCCAATTATTATTATTATTTTAAATTACAATTATAATATATTGGAAAAACTTGTAAGTGTTGAAATAACAGATTCCCAAACAAACCAGAAACTTTTTACAAGTCTAAACTATAATGCTGCGAGGTTTTGCAACCAGACGGATATGCTGCAAAACATTTTGAACAGAAAAATGGATTTACAAGGTAAGATATGGAAAAAAAAAAAATTGAAGAATTACAACATGTAGGTATATTCTTCCGTTATTTCAGCAATTTCTTTTATGCCGTCTATTTTGTTTGCAAAAACTTGACCAAATGCCTTTTGTTTGATTTGATTGAGTTTAATCTTGCAGCCCTAAATGCATATTTGCTGGATTTGGATTATTCTGTTCCCCATCAGGAGTCACTCAAGTTCTGAAAAGTCATCAACTATAAAACAACCATCTTTAAACACTAGACTCAATATTCTTGGATTAACACAAATGTCCCAGTTTTCTTTTGTTACTGTATTATCAACCCTGTAAGACTTGGTTAGTCAAATGAATGTCGTTAGTTGATCTTTTTCACAGTCTTTCACAAACAATCTTTGCGTTGACAATAGTTCCTCAGACATGGGTCGAACACAGGGTGAACTAAGAAGGTGCACTCAGTCCAACAGAGGTCCCTCTTATGTTTCAGGAATGTTGAAACCAGATCTGAACATGTACAAAAGTGTCAAGACTCCACCGACCCCTGAAGAGAGAGCGTCTTTGTAGAAAATGGAGTAAATTGAAGTCTCAATTGTTGATCATCAGATAAAATATTCTCCAATTAGAATGATAAACGTTCTAGCAAAGCGGGGGATGCTGGCTCTTTGGGCATGATATTACTGTTGGAACGCTGCACACAAAAGCTAAAAAACACATTTAATTCAACACAGAAAAGGAAAAAGGTGCAACAGGCCAAGTTACAAATATTGTGAAACATCCAAGGGGCAGGTTTGTGACGGAACGAAAGGGTCCGTCTCTTGTAGCCTTCATTATTCATCCTCCGCCTTGTAAGTTCAATTGCAGGCTCAATTTCTCTTCATTTGGATTTCTCGCTCACATCAAAGTTCAGTCAAGTCTACAAAATCTTTTAAAAAACCTCCTCTTGCAAATGTGTGGGTTTATGCGAAGCTCAAGATTTTTTTCTATTTATCCCTTATCTTTCACTTGTTTCCGGGTCGCGGTGGCAGCGAGGTAAGCAGACGCCCGGACTTCTCTCTCCACACTCACACTTCCTCCAGCTCATCTGGGGGAATCCCAACACATTCCCAGGCCAGTTCAGGCACATAGTCTCTCTGACGGGGCCTCCAAAGCTCTTCAGGTCTCTCCGTAGCTTTTGGTTGGATAAAAAAAGGGAAATCTCCTCAGAATGAATCCCAAAACTGGTATCATCTAGTTTTCTTGGTGTTCAAACGTCACTAAAATTAAAATCTGCAGTTTTGTTCAAAACCATCGTTCCCATAATCAGCTGTCCAGGGAAGTTCCCCCGGTGCATTCTATTTCATTGTCATTTAATTTAAAGGCCATGTCTCAAGCAATAGTTATAGTTATCAACGTTGACCCTTAAACATGATCTTGAGGATTATTTGAAGAGGATTAATTTGTGGAATGAAAAATACCTTCTTAAATAGAACATTTTTACAAATACTTGTAAAATGGATTAAGAGATGATCAGAATGAGCAGAACATGATTTATGCACTTGTTTACACATAGAACAGAAACGGTTCTTACTTTACCATCACCGCAGACAAGTTTGAAATTAGATTATGAGGGCAGATGTGACATGGGGGGGCGTTTGTGCCGGATTGTTAAGATAGTTATCGATATCAGCATGGACGGAGAAAAAAACAACTTCAGCTCCATGTTATTGACGACCGGGCAATACTGCAACATGGTTAAAAGCTCAAAAAGCACAGTTATGTCAATGGAGACAGAATGCAGAGAGTGAGTTCCGGGTTTGTGGACAGCACATGGTTCTGATGTTTATGTGGACCCAGCACTTATAAATGTCAATGTTGCCATGTCAAGCCAGAGAGTAGATGCTGTTGAGGCCTCCGCCGTAGTCCAGGTCGCGCACGTCCCGCCTGGCGCCCGTGTACTGCCCGATGAAAGAGCCGTCCTCGTTAAAGGGGATCTCTCCTCCTTCGCCGTAGTCCACCAAACTGTCGTCACTGTACGCACGCTTCATCATGGACTCCAAAGATGGCTGCCCTCTCTGAATGCCACGCTCTTCCTCTCTAGAGACAATGCCAGAGCTCAGGACAATGTAGGACACGGCAAGACTTTCACAAATAGATTATTAGAACTAGCCTTTTTAACCTCCTACATTTAAAGTATATTTTAGTCCTTTTATGTCAGTGATAATCTGCTCTAGTTCCTGCTCCAGCTCCAATGTGCTCGAGCGGTGTTGTTTATCTGAAACTTTCTGTCAAACGACAAAATAATTCCCCTTCATATGTACCATTTGTATGTATTAAGAGAAATTAAATACAAATAAAATAGAAATTTATTAAAGCAGCTAGGCTTGTCCCAATAAAAAAACAACTTCAATTTTATCTTAATTTATAAAGAATGACAGCTCATGAAAACTCACCGGCGAGGATGATAAGGCAATGTCGGCACTCGAGTTATCCTGAAACAGGTTTTTTTTTTGTGAGAATAGCACATGGAGACAAATGTAAGCAAGCATTTTCCATATACAGTATATATATTAGGTCTCTTACCTTTCAAGGGACCTTTAGTGGAAGGAAAACAAAAGTAATGAGGTTAAAAGGTGAAACAAGAATTCAATGCATAATTTTCAGATAGATAGGCTTCTTACCGGTAATCAAAAGACCCTTCTGGTTCTTTGTCGTCCACCGGCTCCAGAGATATGTCTTTCTTCTCGCGCACTAGAACATACAGGGTGTAACAGCAAGTTAATAAAAAAGACTTCTCATCAAAATATTATTACCCTTGTAAAAGTAGAAAAGTACAACAATTTTATATAGATATATTTTGTGACTCTCCTACATTGGCACATATTTGCAGTCATGTTTTAATTATTAAAATGGATATATGTCACGTTACATATGCAGGTACTGAATAATGTTGCTGCTGTGTTAACTCATTGACTGCCAGCCGTTTTTGGTGAATTCACTGATTCTTAAGACCCACAGAATATTATGTGCTATGACTATGTGAAATATGAAAACAGATTCTGAAAGACTGGATTGTGTACTTTCATCAGCAAAAATAAGTTTGTTTTTAGCTAGTTTTGTTCTCCTGTAATCCTCCGTCGAATAGAGGGAAGTTTGTCTCAGCCAAATACGACAATGGCAGTCAATGAGTTAAAATGGATACAATATTAGAGAAAAAAGGTGGTTCTGTGTATCTCTAGCTTCATGTTAGATAGTTATTTGAGTAAATGCAACTTAAATACAAAATAATTGAAGTAAAGTTTTTTGAGGAGCACAATGTAAAGATCAGAATGTACTGTAGCTCCCCCATGATCCACATGAGTATTGTCTGTGCCTCCTCAATGAGCGAGCACCTGGATATTTGCCTCCTCGGCTTCTCTTGATGAAGCAGACGATCAGCAGGATGAGCACCAGCAGCACCACAGCGCACATGATGCCGATGAACCAGCCCTGAGTCGTGATGTCCACCTGGTCCTGGGCATAAACTGAAAACACACCACTCATACAACTGTCACCTCTATGACGACACACACAATACACATGAAGGCAAAACTAATACAATACTTGATTAAGCTTCAGACTGCTGCCCAGAACTAACCATCTACTTTAGTGTTTTTTAGCTCAATAGACACCAAAAGAACATTGTCATATATTTGAAGACTAAAGCAATTCAATAAAAGAAACAAGCTCCTAAAGATAAAATGCTGCAAGTTTATCCTCTCCATTACTGAACTAATCATCAAAAAAAGCACCAATTACCGCCATAACTTTACACATTATTACATAAAAGCGCTGATATTGAGGCCTAAATATCCCATAAAAAAAATAATAATAAAGTTTTGTATGTGAGTGTATTTTATGCGTGTATTTTTCGCTTTTTGTGTGCATGAGAAGCTTTTTGGGCCACTGGTGTAAATACCTATAATATATATCTATAAATACCTCATGCTGCTGCTAACTACAGTGTATACTCCACAAGTGACTTACCCTTGAACCAAGTGCAATTACAGAATTGTATTTTATTATCTTGTCATTTTAATATCTGTTATTATATGACTTGGACCGTACGCGCGCTCTGATTGGTTGATTTGCGGTCTGATATTTTCTCATCTCGGACCGTTACCATGACAATTGGTCCGAACAGCACGTATCACATTTAATATCTTTCCACGGACCGTAACCATGACAATCGGTCCACAGCCCGTAACACACAAAACCAAGTCGGACATGAACATACTTCACAAATATCTCAAAAGCATTGGTAAAGACACATACGAGAGTCATATAATAAAACATTTATTAACCTCGCTTGCTCGGTTTGTACAGAGAAATATCAGACCTTGGCCTTTTTGCACAGACCTCGCCACGGCTCGGTCTGTACATTAAGGCCGCGGGCTGATATTTCCCCATACAGACCTCTCGCTCGGTTAATAAGCTGTTATCATCTTAAATAAGTGATCCTGTTAGATGTGAGCAACTATGCTGATGTGAGTGCTGATAATTATTCTCCTTTTATTCTTCTGTATTTTGCGATACGATGACATTGAAATTTCCCTGAATAAAGATTTATCCAATCTTCTCTTAAATGTGCTTTACAAACAAAGCTGATTTTCTATACATGGCAAGACCACAAATTCGATTGCTCTCGGCGCACAAGAAACAAATGAAATTGTGAGATCTCTTTGCAGCTTTTGTATTACTTTCAGTGGTGTAGTGCGGCGACTCCTCTGTGTACCACTCCCCGAGGCCGAGTTGTGTGCGTGCGGCAATGGAAAAGCGGTAGCGTGTGTAGCGGTCGAAGCGGGGGATGGAGAAACTCGTGACATTGGGCAGAAACTCCTCGACCCTCAGCTCCTCTCCTCTGCTGGCGTTCACTGCGGAGAGAGAAGGTACATTTCAGCGCGCATCCAGGGCACTTACGCAGACCTGAGTGCACTCAAGTACCATCGCCCGAGCGCTACCTCCTGCCGTTCGCTTTCTCAAGTGTTTATGAGCCTCTTGTGGTGCTCTGCTTTCCCACTTCCAGGTCTGTTCAGTGTGGGGTCATCTTTCGAGGGGCCCATTATGTGTGCAAGAACATATACAGAATACATCATTGGAGTGTGCTTTACAATAATACGCTACAGCAATGTTTTCTGTCGCAGAGGAGACAGCAATTTCAGCGTCGACTTAAAAATCTACTGTCACCATTGCGCTAGGAGCAGAAAGGAACTCGGTTTAGTGGTAGTGAAAAAGGGGCCTTTAAAAGAAAACCATACATAACAGAACAGTCACTGTTTTAGGCGTAGAAATCAGTGATTTGACATTTGTAAACCAGAAATTTCTAGTATTTATTTTGAGATTGTCTTTGATCAGATGTTAGGGGTCATATCTGGATTTACAATCAGGCATCTTTTTGATTTAAGCGAGCGAGCACCAAAAGCAGGGACAAACCAGCGCAAGGTTGCTAAGTCGTTGCTATCCACAAATCCAGGGCAACAATGGCTCAGTTGGAAGAGCATTGGCCTGTGAGCCTGTAGGTCGGGGGAAGACACTTCACTCCCATTGCCTAGAATGAGTTTGGTGTGTGTGTGAATGGTTGGTGGTGGTTGGAGGGGCTGATGGCACTTACTGGTTGCCTTGGTTCTATCACTGTGCCCCAGGGAAGCTGTGGCTACAGTAGTAGTTTATCATCAGATGTATGGAGTGAATGAAAAATTACATGCCGTTCCAAAAAAGCGCCATATAAAACTGGTGCATTATTATCATTATTATTATCATTAAATTCAGCTTCAGGTTCCTGCCTGAGCCATGGGTGTATTATGGCAAACACTATGGATGACATCAGCCCTAGATTAGTCCAATCCAGCTACAGACAATAACATTTTTTTTTTTTTTTTTTGGGATAGATAGTTATATATTTATTTGTGCTGATTCCATTGTGAAAAAAATGCCTTTATGAACCATAAATGAGAATAAAATGTGACAAGATAAGTCTTCACAAAATGCAACACAAGTTTCACCTGCATACTTATTGTGAGTGCCTAAATATATTCCGCACAACAAAAGAGCTTGACAAAGTAAACAGGATTATGAGAACCTGTCTGGTACTTCAGGGAGTACCCAGTGATGACTCCATTGGGCTCGGCTGGCAGCTCCCAGTCAACATAAATACTATCCAGATGCCGCTGCTGGATCCGGAAAGACTTTGGAACAGATGGCACTGGCAGAAAACAGCAGGCCACGGCAAAAGTTAATTTGGGTTGTCTGTGATAGAACCCCCCCTCACATTTGGGCACTTACCTCCTTCAGGCGTAGAAAAGTGGATGTAATTGCTGGCTGGGCCTTCATAGCGGCTGTTGGCCACCACGATGTACATTTTGTAGTTGCTGTAAGGGATGAGTTCGGAGAGGACTCCAGACGGCTCAGGGCTGTCGTCGGGGAATGATTGGGACTTCATTCCTCTATTGACTCTGTGCCACCGCAACTGGCTGCTGTCCCTCCAATAATAAACCTATTACATTAAAATCACATGTATAAATTATCTTTAAAAATGTTGTATGGAAGACAATGTGCCTTGTGTTCAGTGTGATACAGCATGAATGTTTTACATGTTAAGACAACAAACAAAGATATTATTTGGGTTTTATATAATATAACCAACTATATATAACCAAGAACTGAAAAGGATTGTGAACATACACTATTCAACATTCTCTGAGCGCATAAAAAAGCCTTGGAAAATGTCCAAATTATGCTCAATGACCACATGCCCTAACCATGTTTGTGTGATCTTCTTCTCTCCTACTCCAAACATAGGCCCCCTGTTCTGTGAGGGCTGTTGTTCACTAAATTACATCATGAAGTCTAAGGAGTTTGGATTTCACTTTGCAATTATCTGTTATGTTATGTGGTCTTTCAGTAAAATAAAATCTTTGTTTGTGGATGTAACATGACAAAATGTGATTTAGACTTGTGCTTAAAAGGTACAGTATATAGATGGATTTTTCTACTTCCGGGTGGATCATCAAGACTATTGGTCCTCCTAATCGGAGTTTTGTTCAAAAAGTGGAGAGGGCTTTAATAACATTTGGGAAAATTTCCCATATATCTTTTAGTTTTACATTTTACAATATGATGAAGCGGAACCATGTACTTTATAGCCCCCTTAACCTTTACATGGCCAACATTGCAACAAGGTGTCGACACAGCAGCAGATAACAACATATAAAAACTGATATAGCAAGAAGCCCATGTTTTAGGAATATAGATAACTCAAAATGGTATGAATCACTCGGGAGGATGAAGGCACCTTGAACCTTGAGCTTTGAAATTACGGCTGTGATTGCGTCAAAGAAAAGTGAAAGCAAATACAACATTCTATAAGAGGAGACATACCTTATACTCTTTCAGTTCACCCATGATAGAGTTTTTGTCGACTGTGTCCCAGTGCAGAGTGACCTGAGTGCTCTGGATGTCCGACACTCTCAGGTTCAAAGGGGAGGCGACTGGACCTGGAGGCAGCGATTGAAATAACATAAAATTAATCAAAAGTAATAGAAATACATCACATCACGTCATCAAAGGAAACATGTCAGCGACGACTGTAATATGAAAATCCAAATCAATGCCTTTATCACATCTTTCGACCAGGTTTTCTCAGACAGAAAAGTGAAAAATAGAGTTCTTTCTTACAAGTACGGAAAAGAGATCTTCCAAGATAGATTTGTAAGTAAGTAATATTTATTTATCATGCTTGTTTCACTGACAGTCACAAAGCCCTTTTCTGTTATGGGTAACCCTCCTCTCATTCCACAGAGTTATTAGAACAGGGTTGTCTGTTCACAGGAGGCGCATGCCCGACCTGTTGTATGTGTTTTCAGTGGTAATGGAACCCGGAGCACCCAGAGGAAACCTACACAGACACAGGGAGAACATGCAAACCCCACACAGAAAGGCCCAGTCTGGAGGTGGAGTCAAACCCAGGACCTTCTTGCACTAACCACAGCACCACACGTCTTCTCAATTCTAATAAGAAGATTATCTGATTTAGATTTACAAAACAATTCTCAGCTGAAATGAGAGCTTGAATAATACGAATAATTAACACAAATAAACTCAAATCAATGTTGAGTGAATAAGCGCTTTAGTTTAGCTTTTAATTTCTTTTGCGTAATAAACACAGAGAAAAGACTTCTGTAGTGCTGTACTCACGGTCTTCCCCGGAGAATCCGATGACGATGGGAGATTCAGGCCCCAGCCCAAATTCATTGACCGCTTGTATCTTCAGTTGATACGGAGTAAAAGTATCTGCGTCGTAAATCCAGTATCTCAGCCATTTGGTTGTGGCGTTTCTCCATTCTTCTCTGGAATCTCTCCTTCTCCACCAAATCAAATATTTCAGGTGTGGGCCGTTCCACTCTCGATACGAAAGAGGCTGACGACAAATCAAATGTTCAGACGGTAAATAGAAAAAAAAAAACATTACACAAATAAAAAAAGATATACCTCCCAGCTTATTTCCATGTTATTCCTCCATGTCCCCACACCTTTAAGATTTTTTGGAATAACATCAGGGGCTGTGAAAAAATAAATGGGAATATTTGTTATGGCACGTGTAATCAGTGTGTTTTTTGTTTTTTGCTTCTTAAAAATCCCACTGAGATTTAAAACCTGCTCAACAAAGAACCCTGGGCCATATTCCATCAGTTCAACAGAGAGGTGAAAAAGGTTAATTGGCTATAACTATAATCTCATTTGTTTGATCTAATTTTCACCCTTGTTCAGTCCGTTAAGTTTTAGATGTAGACTGAGTTAGAGAGCTGATAAATATAAAAATGTGAAGGAACAGCAAGCAAAACAAGTGCACTAGAATATAACATGTACAGGGCTCATCACAGAAGGAGGACCCAAAAATACTAAAATGCATGTTCCTGAAAAGTAATCCTCTTCGACCAGATCAAATCTTTTTAGATATGTTGGGCCTAAAAATCTCCCACAAACGACAGCTCGGCTTTAGTGCCTTAATGTGTGGTATAAGAAATAGGGCTTGTGTGTGATTACTTACTGATTCTACTGCTTATTTATTTGAATGTGTGCGGTACAGGGCTGAGTTCCATCCTTTGTCCTTTCATTCACCCTGAACTATTGTACGTGTGGAGAGAACAACACTCCACACAGAAAGGTCTTGTCCTGTTTAGTGAAAGCCCTTAGCAACATTATAGACACTTTCTATCTGACGGTTTATGTGTAACAAAGATGACGGATGCGGCATAATAAAGCTTTTGAAATCATGGGAATACGTATATATACTTTACTTAGGATGAAAGGTCCTAATCTCGATTAAAGCAGATATAGTCATAAACGTGTGAATACAATCGAAATCAAGATAAGATAGGAGGAAGAATTTGATAACACAAGTTCAACAGTATACACTCACCCGGGGTTGTTTTAGGTCCATCCTCGCTAATATAAGTGACGCAAATCCATTATGATTATATGATCCTTACAGAGAAGTTTTCTGTCTTTTAAAACCTGCTTTTAAGTACTGCTTCCAAATTAGTTTAGGAATTGTTCCGGTCAAATGCATTCTTTACAACTGTGTGCCTTCAATTAGATCAGGGTCTGGAACCTTACTGGCTGAGAGAGCTAAAAAAAAGTCACATATTTTAAGATGTTTTTCCCTGAAGATGTTTTTTTTGTCTTGACATAAAAATAGAGACTTTTTGAAGTATTTTTTTGGTATGTGTTTTAGAAATGTCTCTATTTCTCTAAGAGCCATAGAGTCCCTACAACTGCAACAGACCATGCAAGGTTACAAGATGGGGCCGTCTCTTATTCTACTTTTAGATTTCATTACCTGCCATTGGGTTATGTTTTCCCCATAGTTGGTCTGTTGTCTGCCTGTCCATCTGTTTGTCTACTAAAACTAAAAGGATATGGGTAGAGTTTTTCAAAATGTTTGAAAGCCTCAGAAATGGACAAAGAAATCACTGTCTTGATCCAGGATTTTGCTTCTCTAGTGTTATTATTTATCATGTTTGTACTTTCTCTTATAAATATCCCCAATAACCCGATGTTTAAAGGCAAAATGAGCACAAATATAATGCATCTTCTTAAAAACATTTTGTCTCGTACGTGCACCGCTGCTCTGGAAGCGTGAGGAGGGGCGGCTGGGGCGACTCGGGCCGATCTCGTTCACGGCGATGACCCGAAACTCGTAGTAGGTGAAGGGAATGAGGTGCAGGATCACAGAATTCAGGTTTCCCGGATAAGAGGTAAGGTTTCTCCATTTCCACGGTAACCAGTCGTCATCATCGTACTGGACGAAATACTCTGGAATTGTGACATTCATACATTTCAGGATAAAACACTCACTGCATGCTATAGAGCTAGACCCCTACCACAGAAACACATTATAATTTATCAAAAATCAGTGGCATTTTTCATGTATTTTGGTTGTGACCTGTGATTGGACTGTGGTTATTGTCTCCAGGAATCCACGTGAGTCTCACTGTGCGTTCATATGGGTCTGACAACTGCAAATCAGTGGGCGGATCAGGCCGATCTAACAGAAAAGTAATGTGTTATCTCGGATGAGCACAACAAGATCAAAATCCTATTATAATGTTGTGTTACCCATGACCAGTAGCTGTGCTGAGGCAGACTTTTGGTCCAGTTCCCCTTTAGCCAGACACGTGTAGTTCCCCTCATCTCTTCTGTTTACAGAACTGATGAGCAGATTGCCTTCCTCCATGTTAAACCTAGACAAGGTGAAAGCAGGAGATATTGGTTGCATTCCAGTTCATCAAAACATACGTCCCTTGTTTTTCCCTTATATTGTGTGGGGATAACAAAGTCTTACGTGTCTAAGCTTTCACTTGTCCATACCTGGAACCACCATCTTTCATAAAAGTTCATATTTATAGATGAGGAGATATTTTCAACTGAATTCGGATGCAACCAGTACAGTTTGACGCTGTTTTACAGTTTTATAGTGAGTTACCAGTTGCACGAGGCCCTCTGCTGGTCACACAGGGGTATGGAGGATATTTTCTTAGTAACAGCGTTGTGTCAACTATAACATTTAAATGATCTAGTCTAGGAGCAATTGCATCTACTTCCATTGATAATAATTACTTTCGAAGGAGTACGATCACCAGATAGATAGATAGAGATAGATGGATAGATACTGTATTGACCACCAAGCATGATTTATTGAATTTTAGATAAAGGAAAATGACACTACAAGGTCAAAGTCGTCTTAGTCAATGGCTGAAATTAAAAGTCATAGCTGTTCAGAAGCTGAGTTAAAGTGGCCTTACATTTTTTTTTTTTTTTTTACATTATGGAGGTATGTTGACAATAGGATAACTTTTATCAACATGAGTTTGGGTATTATTGTCTGGTTTACTGAACAAAATTAATTCAGTTGATGTTTGGTTGAAACTTGTCTAAAGGAGAAGATGGCTTGTACTTGGAGATTGACACGCTATTTAATTTGTCATTTTAATTTTATAAATGATTACGTGTTGTAGAATACATTTGTTTTCTTGAGAACAGTATCTTTAAAATAAGGTAAAACATGCAGTATTCAGAAATCAAAACATCAATACAGGAAGTTAATCATAATACAGTAATAAAAAAAACAGAGTTTTCTGTCATTCCCAGTGGCCTCGTCTTTGACACAAAGAATTTAGATTTAAATATATACAATATCCCTCTTCCAATTGAGCACCTGGTCTTTTAAATAATTTTATCTCTCTACTTACCCTTTGCTTTTTGAGATATACAATACACTACTGTATATGTCAAATTTTGCAATTATTAGAGAATTATTGACAATAATCCGATAGTGACTCACCTCCAGCCCAGAGTGATGTAACTCTTTTCCTTCAGCCAGGTCGCTGTGACGGGAGCAGTGGCGTCCGATTTAACCACACAATCCAACCGCACATTAGTCCCACGCATCACCTTCATATTCTGAGGCTTTGTGACGATTATTGTTGGTTCTAGGGTGAAAAAGAGGAAAAGAAAACCAGAATCATCATCACTAAACACCACAATCACGGTCTGCCGCACACTGGGTTAGGTCTTGCACAGTTTTGCCAATGTGGTTTTACTGCAAATGGCAAATAAAAACGTGAATCTTGATGTAACACAATATTTATTAAGTAATCTAAAAAAAATACTTGAATTCATATGATCATATCTCTCTGCATTATTAAATTACGATAATAAATGTTCTTAATACATTGGCAGTTGTTACTTGGTGTAAGAAATCATATGTTGAAAACGGTCGGAAACATAAATGAATGTAAAAAGTACTGAAACTAAGATCAAAGTCATTCAAGATAAAGATAACAAAGTGTAGTTTTACCTTTAACCTCGAGCTGAACTTGGCTCTCCTCTCTCCCGGCGATGTTGCTGACCACACAAATGTAAGTCCCTTGGTCCTCTACTTGAATGCGATTAATCTGCAACGTGCCATTTCTGTGAGTCTTGAAACGGTTGCCTTCGAGATTCCCCTGGCCATACTTTGACCTAAACAGACAAAAATAAATCTGATGAATGCCATAAAACTCCAGCAGTGTTGGTGAGTTGACAAAGTGCTGCTGTACCATCGTAACTCAGGCAGTGGAGATCCGAAGTAGAGACAGTCTAAGAAGGTGCGCGTGCCCTCAATCACCTTCACGTACTCACTCCTGGGACTGAGGATCCGCGGCGGGGCATCTGGGGGTGACCACAGGGGCTTTGTTACTTTATTGTCCACATACATTTGATGAACTATTGTATGTAACTTTTAATACAGAGGGTTCACCGCATGAATGTCGAATATACAGGGACCTTACTGTGACATGAAGGTGATATCCGCAACTTCAATTGCACTTTTTTATTGACTTTTCACTTTTATAGGAATACATATTTTTGACTACAGTATATGATCTGACAGTATACATATATTTTCCATTAATGATATATCAGTTGTCTACTAAGGATTTGAATTCATTGCATCCAATCAGGAAGCTGTGGGGGCGGGTCTCACTGGCGAAGGCATTTAAAAAAAACGTTGACATTGAATTTATGAATTTGGAAAATAATCCTTAAAAAAATCATATGTTGTAATTAGATTTCGGGGTCTTATATATGTGCAATATTTGACTTATCTGTTTCGCATTATCCTCAAAAGTTACATTTGTCAACCACTGTTATTTTGATTAAATAACATAGGCTAAAAAGAGAGAAGTTAGAAGTGGTGCGGCACTACTCCTGGTCCCAACTCAAACACAACACAGACCAGAACAATCCCAGCAGAAGCACAACAAAAAATCCAAAAGTCAATTTTCATTTATCAAAAATAAAATTGTATTCTCTACCTGAACGTCAGTGACTAAAGGTAGTAGTCATTCATTTATTTTATGAAATGTCTGAAAAATTATTTGACTTGAAAAAACCTGCAGAAGCCCTCAGTATAGTGTAGTGTATTTCAATCCTGTCTACATAAAGAAGTTTATTGGTTTACCACACAAACACCATCAGCACAGACACTGCCTTCAAAATCTCTTGGAATACTCGGACCAAAGTTTTTCTTACTAAAAAAGTACATGTTTCTATGGCAATAGCTCTTATTTCTCCTTATTCTGGAAAAGCATGAATTTTAATGGACCTTTTGTTAACCATAGTCCCACTGAGATTTCAGGATCTCTGTTTCATGGGAGCACTCACTCTTAACTGGCTGTAGATTTGTTTGACAAAATATCTTCATCTGTGAAGTAACGCTAGCCCAGCCCCTTTTCATTAATTTTTTTTTTTACTTTTCTCGTTTGGCACAATGGTTGGAAAGTGTGTCTAATATTGTACTTGAAATTAGATCTATCTATTCATCCATCATTCACTCACGCAGCACGTTGACGAAGGCGTTGGCCAGCAGGTATCCAAACTGATTGGACGCATTACACTGATAGACAGCTGTGTTTTCTACGGTTGCACTGCGGAAAGCGAGGGCGTCTCCTGAGACCTCCCTGTTGGGCTGGTGCGTGGCAACTGCATGGAACACATTAGCACACGTCAGTGGAAACATAGCATTAGCACACGTCAATGGAAACATAACAAGACGGTGAATATTTTAAGTTGTTCTCATACATTCAATAGGTTCTCCATTTATAAACCATTCAATAGTAGGACGCGGTACACCGTCTGCTTGGCAAACGAGGCGCCCGTTCTCCTCAGGGGCCAAGATCAAGTTAGTGGGTTTCTCCAACCAAAAAGGAGCCGCTGAAACAAAATGCAGATTAGTTTCATTACTGTAAATAATGAGGGCTAAATGAGCATTAATTAGCAGTACCTTTCACCCTGACTGTTATGGTGTGCTCGATATAGCCCAGTCTATTAGTGGCACTGCAAATGTATTCACCAGCATCTTCAAAAGCAGCCTTTGGGATTTGAATTAACTTGTTGAAATTCTTGACTTTCATTCGGGAGGTTACGTCCAGACTCCCACCGTCTTTGGTCCAGGTGATGTGAGGAGTGGGCCTGAAAAGGACATGAGGGCATTGTGTTAGGGCAGAGGAGTCCGACCGGCTGCTTTTTCAAGACAATAAAGAGCTCCTCCTTTAAGGAAGAATAGTGAGCTCTGTGGTGCAGTACAAGCCCACTAAACAATTTATCATGTCAGTAAAAAGCAGGTGAATCATACATTAAATATTCAGCAGTTCATTTGTAATAATTAATGCGGAGCTGCTTGAAAGGAACTAATCGTAGCTTCTGAGCTATAGGTTGGAGTAGACAGAACAGAGGTCCAGAACTGAATTAGAAATTGCAGCAAAACCAGAACGAGGGTAAACCCAGACCAGATTGGGACTCAAGCATCATGTGAATGCAGCTATCAATCCATGTAGGATAAAGAGCAGTTCTCGACAATCTTCATTAAACGTCCATTGTGTGCATTTATTCAAGAATTTTATATTTTTCTGTACATGCCTTTTTTACGTATTTAAAAAAAAAAAAATCTTAGTTTACTGAAGATTTCAGTCACAAAAGCAATAACAATAGGAGAGTACCCACTAATAGTAATATCAATAGTGAGAAAATAATGAATTAATAGTAACAGAATAGAAAGATAATTACTAGTATCATAATATTTACTAAATCAACCTGTTATAATTCAATAGCTGGATCTCATTATAATGTCATTATGAGGATATTGATTATTCTCCTTAATGTCTGCACTTACACAGTGTAAAGATACACAGTGTAATCTACAGGGGCCACATATGAGCAACGCAGTTTTAAATAGAAGTGAACTTTATGTAACTATACCACACTGCAAATATGCTGTCATAAAACAGCACTTTCAAAATGTCATCCATGTCTTCAAGAAGTTTGCAGACTATGTTATTCTTTGTTTTTATTGCAGTTTCTGTAATGTATTTGTTTTCTTCATCTATAGCACATGTATGTTGTGTGTATGGGATCAGCTCGCTCAAACTGCTAGACACATTTACGTACTGGTCCAAATATAGAAGGTGAAGGTGAAGCTGAACGTGACACTCACATGCCTGCAGCGACGCACTCCAGCAGCAGCTCCTCTCCCTGCAGCACAACCACAGAGCTGGATGTACCGACAGGAGTCAGCCAGGAGGGGGCAGCCTCCACCACCGAGCGCGCTACACACAACAAAAGTCAGTTTTTCTCAAAGGATTCCACCAAAGAGCTATTAATATACCAGTGTTTTAATTAGTCTGAGATTAGTCCAAGTTAGCACACACTCACCACACTTAGTAAAGAAGCACAGTAGCAGCACATTAACCAGTCTGCAATTAAATAAAACAAAGGACAGTTGTTAAGTGGGTTGTAATAAAGAAAATAAAGCTGGAGTTATTAAAGAGCGACCTCTGAGAAATGGTTTAGAGCTGGGCCATTAATCCACACTTTTATCCGGATTATACATATATCTGGTCTGAATGATTGAACTAGGGATAATTACTAAAATCAACTGTAGTCACAATATAACACTGGCTTACTAAACAAAGAGAACTTATGGTTGTTGGTGTTGGTGGTAGTTCAAATAGCATCGTTACTATTGTCAATTTTCATTTCTGCCACATTATATTCTAATACATCAGTGATAATCTACACTGTTAAATGTCTATTGTGTGTATTTATATAATACAATTGTATTTTTGTGCATTCCTTTATAAATACACCATTTACCAAAGACAAATTTTAGTTTGTGATGTCCTGTTGTACAATAGCAATGCAAAAAAATCTGATTCTGAAATATTAATATACACAATTACAATGTATTACTAATTTAAAAAAGCTATCAGAATGTGCAATATGAACCACATGTGTCAGTGTCACTGTCACTTTACTCATGTGTGCAACCTTAATAATGCCAGAATGTACAATATAGAACCACATCAGATGCTGTCACTTTACTGAGTCACTTTAGCCCTAAGAGATCCATGCTTTAGCCCATACCCTCATGCTAACATACATATGGATCTATAATAATAACTATTAGTGTATTTTTGTACTTAAGTCTTGCTTCTTCCTCATGCTAGAGTTGGGATTATAGTCGTCTTTCCTTATTATGCTAGAGATAAGAGATTTCATACTGATTAATTTTATGCTAGAGTTATCGCTTTTGTTATTATTCATTCATCTTGTGCTGTATGCTCCTCATGCCTACTCTCTGTAACTTGTGATGCAACACTGACATTTCCCCACTGTGGGACGAATAAAGCATCTCTTCATCTAGATTTTCTTTGCTCTACCGCTTTCTCTTTGAGCTCTACATTGAGCTATGATAGAAATTATGTTATTCTGTTTGGCATTAAGGTTAAAGTTGGCTCCATTGCCCCCACTCACTGATGAGCACCTTCACCACCACAGGCATCTTCTGCTGGATGATGTTCTTGTAGGGGAAGCGAGTGTTGCAGCAGAAATCCGTCACTGAGTCGTTGAACAGGACGTTGGAGAAGTACAGGTCTCCGTTGACTCCCATCGAGACTCTGCGGTCCTGCGGCACGGCCTTCATGGTGGGAAAGGCGGTCTGAACGGGCCAGTTAAAGGGTCTGGCATAGGAGCCTAGGGTCAGAGGGAAATGTAATTTGCATGTCTCAGTGGATATACAGTATATATATAAGACTAGTACTAAACTGTGAAGCAGAGGAAATGAGCAGTTTTTTTCTGAACATTGATATAATAATAACTCCTCTGTAGTAATTGTGTACTGCAGTTACATCAGTGTTACAATAAAATAAGTTGCTATAAAAGAAGAAGAAAAAAATCCCTATGTTAGGGTCCAAAAGTTGTCAATGATTCAGGGCCACTCAACGTAAGAAAAATCATCAAAGTTCAGCTTGGGAAAAAAAACATATTTGAGGTATTTTTTAATCATTGTGGCAGGAAGATTTGACCCGAGGATAGCACTGCTCCTCACCAACGGACAAGCTCTTTAACCTCTCTCTAGGCCACCAGAGTCTAGGTACAGGGGGATTTCATCTCATAATCTCTATTTTCATTTCCTCTTCTGCAGTTGTCATGCAGTGCTCTGCCAGGGTCTCAGCAACAAATCAAAACCACATTTTTCTCTGCAGCAGGCAATAAATGTCATTCTTGCATACAATGTCTGCTAATTTATGTAAAGTGACAGATTATTTGTCAACCGATAAATACAGTTCTTCTTTTGTCTGTTCGAGTCTCTCCAGATTGAAACATTATTTAGTGATCAAATAGCAACTTGAATAAACAACATTATCATGAATTCTTCAGGTTTTGATGCTTTGAATTAGAATTATATTTAACTGTATTAATGCATATGCACGGATTCAGCCTGAAAAGTTTGGGACCATGCACCTGTCTGAATGTACGTCACATTAAAACTGTCACCAAGACTTTGTTCAGACATCATTTGAACAGTACTCCAACAATAGGTACTCTGATGGGGCTGTACTTCTGATGGGGCTGTACTTCTGATGGGGCTATACTAATACAGTTTACTCCACGTTAAAGACATGTGTTAATGTCACATTGAGCGCACCTCACAGAGTGGATTAATGGTGTGTGATATAACAGACCACCTCCCTGTATTTGCCATATATAATGACAACTACACCGATGAGAAGAAATCACATGATCCCATATTTAAACGATTAAGAACAGAAGATGCCATTTCAAATTTCAAACGTGATCTTTTAGGTCAAGAATGGAATGATACAGAAGTAAATGTGGATAGGGCCTTCAATAACTTAGTTGACATATTTTGCACACTTTACGATAAACATTGTCCAATGCGTAATTTTAATAAAACTAAAAAAACAACTAACAGTCCCTGGTTAACTAAAGGCCTACTTAATGCATGCAAAAAGAAAAACTATTTATACAGGCAATTAATCAAATTAAGAACAGAAGAGGCTGAAAGCTGATACAAACAATACAAAAATAAATTAACAAACATAATTAGAACGTGTCAGAAAGAATATTACACTAATGTTTTGAATGAAAATAAAAATAATATTAAAGGTATTTGGAGCGTACTAAATAAGATATTAAAAAGGGAAACTAAGAAGGACCCATATCCAAATTATTTCCTTGAGGGGAGAACCACTGTCACAAACATGCACAACTTTGCTAATAAGTTTAATAATTTTTTTGTAGGCATAGGCCCAGAGCTGGCAGAAAAAATCCCTGAACACAACAAAGTTGTTGATCTTAATCTGATTCAAAGAAACACAAAAACCATGTTTCTCGCTGATGTGAGTGGGGTTGAAATAAAAAATGTTGTCAATAGTTTTAAAAGCAAGACATCTACTGATTGTTATGGTATAGATATGTTTATTATAAAAAAAGTAATTGAAGGTATCGAAAAGCCTTTGACCCACATTTGTAATCTTTCATTTCAGACTGGAACATTTCCTAAAAATATGAAAACAGCCAAAGTTATACCTCTATTCAAAAATGGAGATAAGCACATCTTCACCAACTACAGACCCATTTCTCTGCTCCCTCAATTTTCCAAAATTCTTGAAAAACTGTTTAACAAGCGACTAGAAAGTTTTTTAGACACATGTGACATTTTAAATGAAGGACAATACGGTTTCAGATCAAACAGATCCACAACAATGGCAATTCTTGAAGCGGTTGAAGAAATCACCAGCGCTTTAGACAAAAAGAGACATGCAGTTGGAATCTTTATAGACTTAAAAAAAGCTTTTGACACTATCAATCATTCAATTTTACTTAAAAATTAGAAAGGTATGGTATTAGGGGGGTGTCATGGAATTGGATCAAGAGCTACCTATCAGAGAGATCACAGTTTGTGAGGATGGGTGATATTGAATCAGAGCGTAGAGGCATTGCTTGTGGAGTTCCAAAGGGATCTATTTTGGGGCCAAAACTATTTGTTCTGTATATTAATGATTTGTTTCAAGTATCCAATATACTGAAGATGATTTTATTTGCTGATGATACTAACATATTTTATAGTCATGACCATTTAAACACTCTAATTAATATAGTAAATGACGAACTAAAGAAAATCAAAATATGGATGGATACGAATAAGTTATCTCTTAACTTGGAGAAAACTAAAGTAATTGTTTTCGGGAATCATAGAGAATCAGAACTCATAGTAAAAATAGAAGGAACAACAATTCAAAAAGTGTCTGAAATAAAATTTTTAGGAATGATGATTGACAGTAAACTAGATTGGAAGTCACACATCAAATATGTGGGCGGCAGTAGCTCAGTTGGTAGAGCGTTGGCCTTTGAGCCAGAAGTTCGTGGGTTCAAGCCCCGCTCAGGACTTTCACCATCGACTCCCACTGACTACTGTCGTTGTGTCCTTGGCAAGACACTTAACCTCTGGGAACACCAGCCACAGTGGGGCGGCTGCGGCTGTAAAGTGCCAAACTGCCGTTGTGTCCTTAGGCAAGACACTTCACCCCCATTGCCTAGAATGAGTCTGGTGTGTGTGTGAATGGTTGGTGGTGGTCGGAGGGGCCGATGGCACATACTGGTTGCCTCGCTTCTGTCAGTGTGCCCCAGGGCAGCTGTGGCTACAGTAGTAGTTTATCACCACCGTGTATGGAGTGAATGAATAATGACACATGTGAAGCGTCTTTGAGTATCCAGAAAAGCGCTATATAAAACCGATGCATTATTATTATTATTATTAAATATATACAAAACAAGATTTCCAAGAATATATCCTTGTTATATAGAACAAAATATGTTTTAAACCATAAAGCCCTTGATTTATTGTATTGTTCCCTTGTTCTACCTTACCTAATTTACGGAATTGAAGTCTGGGGTAACAATTACAATACTTCTCTACAATCGCTCTGGAAACTCCAAAAACGTGCAATAAGAACCATTCATAGAGCCGGCTACTATGACCACACCAACATACTGTTTCTGCAGTCCAGACAGTTAAAATTCTATGACTTGGTTGAGTTTTATACAGCACAGTTATTGTACAAAGCAAGTAAAAATAAACTGCCAAAAAAAATGCAATTACTTTTTCAAATAAGACAGGGAAAACACAATTTAAGGGGTTCTAATATCTTTAAAGTTCCAGCCGTGAGAACGACACGGAAGAGTATGTGTGTGTCGGTACGTGGGGTCCGGCTCTGGAATGGTTTGGGGGACGACCTTAAACAGTCCACAGTACTTTGGAAATTCAGATCTAAATACAAAGAAATTATATTAATGAGATACAAATTAGATGAAACGTTCTAAATAGTGTTAGGTTCCAACTTAAAAACAAAAGTAGACTAAGAGAATATAGGTCTATTTTATTGTCTTATACAAGCATTATATGTGTGTCGATTGTGCGTGTTAGTATATATGTATGTGTACATGTATATGGATGTGTGTGTATGTACATATGTACGTGTACTCAGGTATATTTAAATATATGTGCGTATGTATGTGTGCATTTGCACGTGTTTATGTATTTATCTGACCGACAGAGTATAATGTAAAACTTTGTTGTAATTTTATGTTGTACAGGACGGTATCCAGTATTTAGTTTTATTTTGTAGTTGGGGGTGGGAGTAAACAAGTGTTTCACTTCTTCTCACTCCCTTTCAAGCAAAGAGCATTACTTTATTGTTAAGGAAAAAAAAATAATAATAATAATAAAAAAAATTAAAAAAAATAATAATAATGATAATAATAAATAAATAATGTAATCTGTGTTAATATATATTGTTTACTATAACGTTTATGAATTTAAGTTTTGTTATTGTGACATTGTGTCATGCTCATGCTTGCTTGCTTGAAATAAAATTATTCATTCATTCATTCATTCATTCATTCATTCATTCATTCATTCATTCATTCATTCATTCATTCATTCAATGATCATTATATGACCCGGTCAGTCAGGTCAGTGTGACTCACAGCTCTTCATCCAGTAGGTCTCAGGTCTCGGGGGTCCGGGCGGAGGGTCACAGGGCAGCACCAGAGGTAACCCCGCACTGACCACCACTGGCTCCTGGATCTCCCTCGGCCAGACTGGAGCTCCTAGTAGCAAAAGTTAGAGCTGAAGTAAGATGCTTGTATTTCAAAAATATTGTTTAAAATATATATATCTTGAATGTTCCGAAGTAGGTCAATTTTACAGTCTATGAGGTTAATGAACTTTAGCAGCTCATGCTAACATAAACTACACGGTATGACATCTCTTCAAAGTAGCGGACCGCCCAGCAGAGGGCGCAAAAGTACTAGTCAGGTAAAATACAGATATTTAAATAAAGATCTACTCCGGTAAAAGTATTACGTACATCCTTTAGAAGTAAATAGTATAAGCTTTTATTTGTATCTAGGTTTAAAAAAATATATATATATATTTTTTGGTCGAATCATTATGCATAATGTTATACTGTTGTAAGTAAGCAGGTAAGTAATCTTTATTTATATACCGCATTTTTACAGACAAAGGTCACCCAAAGCGTTTTACATTGTTCAGAGTTCAGATATTATTTCATTCTCTCCACACGTTTCAATACAATACAATACAATTTATTCTTGTATAGCCCTAGGTCACAACAGAAGTCATCTCAGAGGACTTAAAAAAACCATTGAAATCACCAACACAGATCAGAGAATCAACAGTTAAAACACATAAAGAATATAGAACACATGTTAAAAAAATGTCCATACATGTTGTAGAATGTTGATGACGGAAGCGAGACGCCGAACACACCGGTGCATCAAAGCCCTAACCAACACCATCCATGCACCTAAATCCTATCCTAACCCTAACCCTCATTACATTCATAACTATTGTGCATTTTTAAGTGGTAGGGGTGGGGAAACTAGCAACAGGAGGAAATCTACAGACACGGGGAGAACATGCAAACTCCACTCAGAAAGGCCCTGTTCAGACCAGGATTTGAACCCTGGACCTTCTTGCTGCGAAGAAAAAGTGCCACTCACTCATCCCGGTGTTGTTTCATATCTGCGGAGCTGTTATCTGAACTCAGAAGCATGTCTAACCACAATGGGTTAATAACCTTTGAAGCCTGGCTAACCACAGTGCATTCATGCATTTAGAAGCATGGCTAACCACAATGCATCCATGAACTTAGAAGCATGGCTAACCACAATGCATCCATGAACTTAGAAGCATGGCTAACCACAATGCATTCGTGAACAAAGAAGCATGGCTAACCACTATGAATTCTTACAGTTTGGGCACACTCCTTTGTATGTTGAAACTACAAACAAAGTCCTCAAGTAAAATACTGATACCAGGAAAAACTACTTAAGTGCAGTACTTGAGTAAAAGAGTAAAAATACTGCACCTCTGCTTACAGGAAAGGCATATATAAAGCAGATCTGCCTTACTTGAGTGTACTTATATTGAAAAAGCAATAAGGGAATAATGACAATGTGGATAATATGGAGAAATGAAACATGCTAGATTAAACCATGGTCCAGTTGAACAGACTTGAGAGGTTGCCAGGACTTATTCATTCACCAAAACAGAAAAGACTGGACTTACTGTAAAGCATGAGTCTAATTTTATTGGAGTACGCTGATCCATACTGATTGGAGGCAATGCACTGGTACTCGGCTTCGTACTGTTCGGGATTGTTCTTGGCATAAATATCCAGCGTCCCAGAGCGTCTACGCATCGACGTCTGCGAATCACGTGCCACATTGAAATACTTCCCATTGCGTCTCCAGGAAAAACTTGAAAAGCAAGATTGTAAATATGAAAAAAAGAGTAGTTAATATTATGAAAACATGGCTAAAATTACTCAAATAAAATCTTACATGGGATAGGGGTTTCCTTTGGCCTCACACTCTATCACCATGGTTTCCTTTGGGTCAACAATGTGCTCCTTTAAAGACTGCTTGATTATGGTTGGAGGTTGTTTGACTATAGCACGTGAATATGAAGGGAGATTGAATAAAATGAAAAGTTTTTTTGCCAGCATACATACAAATGATGCAGATAAATTGTCACATTACCTTCTAAGGGGACGTCAAACATCCACACAGGTTGCCATAATAGTAGGAACAATCCCACAGCAAAAACTCTATCCATGGTTAGAGATAGGATCAAGACATTATTGTTCCATTGACACCTACTGACCAGAAACAAAAACATATATGTAATAGTAACGCATACAAAATGGCCTCTACACAAGACATTTTAACACCTACCTTCACCATAAAGCAAAATGTCTCCTCTCAGACGTCCCAGGAGCATTTTTCCCGCAGAAAGATTCCCCCCGGTGAAGTTATAGCATTTATAGCGATGCTCCGAACAACAGGTCAGAAATCCTTGGGGAATAGAAAGTTTCATTAGTGCCGTTTCTGTCTGTCCCTGTCGCTTACACACAACCCACCCTCCTCCATGAATAATGAATGAGAGCCATACACCACCTACTACTGACCACTGGGTAACTTTACTTTACTATAATGTTGCTTTGGTCTGTACAGGATTAAGCATATTGTTCAATTTATGTTGTAAAAATGAGAGATTGTGTGGTCTGTGCGTTTTTGTCTTTGATTCCTGTAGTGAAAAGAAGCAAGTTCATGTGTTTGTTTTTGATGACATCAAATGGTGGGCCTGTGAGTGGTGAGAACAACGTATGAAAGCAGCTTTTGTCCTGGTCATATGAATGTAACATCATCACATGCTGCTGCTGAGAAATGGTGGGAAATAACTTTGATGGAATGCTTAGATTTATTTCCTTGTCAAATTAACTCTGTAGGCACCAGAGAATCAGAATCTGGCTTCCAACAGACGTTTCCTGACAGCTCATTCTGGTATTCATGTCTGTGATTGTAGTAGAATTTCATTTGTTTTTATATATATATATATTTATGTCAGGCAAACACAAGAGCATCACCGTTGCTATTATCATTAAAAAATGTATCTTATAAAATCAAAAAATAATTTTGCCTGAAAGAGAGTGGGAAGAAGAGAATCATTTAAGGCTCTATGCTTTTTGCTGTTTCACATCACATTTCTGACACTTCCCAGGAAATGGACAACTGCATTGATAGAGGTGGATTTGATTCTGATGAATTTAGCTGATGTAATCTGCGTGTTGTCACAAAGTGGGATATTCATGAACATTCACTCTTTCACAGAGTTTTACACATGTCTAATGTGCACATTGTTTTCATGGATGGAAAGAAGAGTGAAAAAACCTCTCATAGAAGAGCCGGGAATCCAATCTGGAAGGACTAAAATAGTGTAATAATAGTGAATAATTGCAATAGTAATGTGCATGACCATTGGCTGATGCTTGTTCATGGACATGAAGGGTTGCAGGATGATATTTTTATGTTTTTATGTTGGCATATGGTTTGGTTCTTAGACTGTGGCAGATACACTGCATGAGATATGTAAGAGGTCATTCAAATATTAAAATGAGACCCTGGTGGTGAAAACTGAGTGACGATTCAATGAAACGGAGAAAAATGTCACTGTTGAAGTGGTGATTTTTGGTGTGGGTTTCAGCTTAAGCCGGAACACAAGTATCTAACAGTTCACATGTAAAGCAGTGAACGATGTAGAAATGCAGGCTGACCGGCTGCACAGGTGTGTAACGGAAAGCTAACAGAGGCACAGGTGTGGAACTGAGAGCTAACAGAGGCACAGGTGTGGAACTGAGAGCTAACAGAGGCACAGGTGTGGAACTGAGAGCTAACAGAGGCACAGGTGTGGAACTGAGAGCTAACAGAGGCACAGGTGTGTAACTGAGAGCTAACAGAGGCACAGGTGTGTAACGGAGAGCTAACAGAGGTAGAAGTAGAAGTCCTCTCATCAGTCACTGATTATCACAGAAATAGATTATATGCGTCTTTTGATGGTTCTTTTTATCATTTCTTGAACTGGATTAAAAAGTCATGGAGGCCCTAAGTGAAGGCACCTCAGCCTGACTTTCACATCAGCAGAGGGATGCCAATGAGAATGGGCTTTTCTCTCCATTTCCACTGGAGAGCAGGGGGCTTGTCCGTGAGCAGTGATCAGTGCCATGCACCAGATTGCACAGTGGAGAGGCACACAGAGGTGGCTGGGTGTCTCCTCCTCTGGCACGTGTGAGAGCTCTGCAGCAGAACAGATGGGCTGTAGGAGGCAGCCTGCAACACAAGCTGTGCACTATGACATCACACTGTCATGGCTGAAAGAGCACACAATGTCCCACAGTAAGTCCAGTGTGACCTATCAAAAGCTTGTTCAACACAAGCGAAGCAGTGAATTCCACCAGCGCTGGCTGAGAGCAGCATTAACATGTTTTAAAGAGAAAAACCTCAGGGACCTGTGCCACACACTCACAGCAATCAGTCCCAGTGATTATAAAACAGACATTACGCATGATGTGGTGAATGGTCTGAAACCTTCTTTCCTCTGTTGGAATTTTACACAGTCTGCTCTGAAAAAAAAGCTTTCAACAAAGCAAAATAACCATGAATGCAATTTATAATTTTATACTCAAAGACTCCAGACGTTTATAGGAGACAAGCAGGTAATGGACCCTCCCCATAACCCCACACCTTTAACTCTTCGACAAGGGTGCCCATACTGTATTTATTGTTGTTTGGGGAAATTTAAAGACATTTATGGACATTGCAGTGCCTATGGCTCTTACAGTATGTGTGTGTGTTTTTTTTTAAATTGCATTTTCTTTATTTGAACGACTGGACTCACTGATCTGTTGTTGATGAAATAACAACTTTGTCAAGTCCTCAGAGGCGACTGCTGTTGTAATTATGGAGCTATACAGAAATAAATGGAATAGAATTGAACTCCAGTGCAGAGTGCATGGTAATCTGGAGTCCTTCAACATTCATTACAATCACTCTAGAAATTAGACTGCAGCAGTTACAAGTAAATATACAATGATGATAATACCCCCTTTGGAATAAAAAGAGGCTGTATGTGTCCAAGACGTAAACAAATGTCACGGCATTTATTGTGTACGTGACAATAATGAACCTGAAACTTGAAAATACATTCTGTGTTTAGCGCTCATTTCCATTCATTGTACTACATAAATAAATAGGGCTTAAGACTTGCCTCTGAGTGTGTGCGTTGCTCCTTCTCCGCTTGGCTGCTTCTAGATCCACACAGACACGTCCCATACGACCAGAACTCATGCTCTGGCGTCTCGTTATGACCTGATCTGCCACTCTAGTCTTCTGTCAGAAAACTAGAGCAACGCGTCACAAACTGTCCCACGCTTCAGTCACAAGTCCCTGTCATAATAAATCCATTGTGAAATCCTCATTGAAAAATCATTGAGAACAAAAAAAAATCTTTGTGTTGATCGAGTAAGTTTGACCATCGTTATTTTTGTAGTATTTGTGTTTCTGTAATAAAAACAGTTGATGTATTGTGAAAGTTCAACATGAAGGATCCTGAGATTGTATCTTTGCGCTGGCTGGCACAAGTACACGCTCTCCAGACAAAGGGCCTCTGTCAGCTACAAACTATTGTGAATTAAAAGGATACAAGCCCCAAACATAACTAGAAATCATTTCACATGGATAATTCATGACAAATAGAGAACGGAATGTTTTTAACTCTTTTTTGAGCAACTTTGAATAAATATTGTCTTTTCTGAGATAAATATTTAACCTGATTTGTCACATATGATGCAACAGTTTTATATAGAGTTTTTTGGACACGCAAAGAAACTTCACATGGCATTATTCACTCCGTACACGGTGGGGGAAAACTACTGTTGCCACAGCTGCCCTTGGGCACAGTGATAAAAGTGAAACTAAAAGTATGCACCATCATTCCCTCCAACCACCGATACAGTATCATTCACTCTCATACACACACACACACAAATCAGTCTCGGCAATGTGGGTAAAGTGTCTTGACGAACAACATCACAGTTTGCAGCTGCAGTCGCTGCAGTCGCGGCAGACTGTGGAACCTAGTTTTCCCAAAGGTCTCCCATCACAATACTAAACAGGCCCTGCCCTGCTTAGCTTCAGATGTCTGATAGGATCTGGATATTCACATACAAGTGGTGCCATGCACATATCTGTCATGTATTCAATTATAGATGCTGTGATGATTAATAGGCAATAGATGTTATCCTTAATGCGGAAAAGGTCAATTTGAACATAAGCTACTTGGAGCCAATTTCCTTGTACGGGCTTTTCAAGTTTCCACTTCAAATGAAGGCATCTGATTGGTTATGGAGCTAACATTGTCTTATTGTATTGTGAATCGACATATGGGCCATAAAAAGTTTGACCAGACTTTTAATCCCAAAATGGTAAGTGTGACACAAACAGTAAGTGAGCTAGAGGAGTTTTCAGTGTTGGTAAACAGGAGCATGAGAGAAAACTTCTTCCATGAGCACTTCCCTATTGGGCTTCAGCACTTCGTAGCATTGTCCATCAATACACAGTCTATGGCTTGTGCACACAATACTAGTTCAATCTCGAGAGACTTCAGAAGACAAAATGCATTTTTTATGTTTTTATTGAAAGGTGGTTTGGCGCCCTAGGCCCCGGTGCGGCGTTTAGTCAGCGAGGCTCCTACTCCTAGGCTCCTCCTAGGCACTGGTGGTGGCATTCGGGCAGCAGGAAAGAGGCATGCTTGAGGCAGGGTGAGAAAAGGAGGTGGAGGGGAGGCGATGGTTTGCAAGGCTTCGAGAAGGCCGTAAAGTGGGAGCTTCTCCACTTTTAAGCTGCTGGCTTGACCAGCGTAGGTTGGTTGGAAATGGGCGTTTTCTGTGCGATAGGCTGAGGATGCGAGGCCGGCCTGGAAGGGGTGGCTTTAGCCGTCAGTCTTCCAGAGTTGCCGCGAGGCTGCATAATTACAAACTCCATTCTGATACTAGGAGAAACAGACTCAAACAATTCCAATAACACTGTGATGTTCTATAAATATGTTTTATTGGACAACGAGCTGCAAACATCGTTAACATAAATAACAATACAATAGTAACATACACACTTTTGTATTGTGGTAATGGTACCACAAGGTTTAATGCAACTTCTGAGATCAAAATGATAAAAAGAGAATTTTACACTTTGTGATTCTTTCTGAAACTAGTTTTGATACTAGTTTTAGTTTTGATCAATATCTGATTTTTGAAACTTTTGGTAACCATATTGTGAATGTAACCTCCTGTGTAGTCTCCCTGTCTGTTAATGTTCCCTTGTAATGGAGTCCCACAGTATAGCATTAACTATATGTTAACTCTAGTCACCATGGAGACAATAGGTTACCAGTTGAGACCTATTCAGGAACAAAACTAAACAAACAAACAGTATAATAAATGCAAGATGGCTCTACACTCCACAGACAAAGCATCACATCTTCATGGAGTTCTCATTTGACTATTTCCCCCTTTACATTTTCATGAAGTCTATTAGAACGATGCTAATATATATCAAAACACTATTATAAAGGTGGAAACTACCGCTTGTGCAATAACCTGGTATAATGCATCTCTCCCTTTAAAGCTACATTGCGCCTGAACTAAACCGAGCTATATATTCTCAAACACATCTTTATTCTCGGAAGCTGCTTTTGTGAAGACTGGGACTTTGATCTCACAGTTTATTGTGTTGCCCTGTTGGAGTGCTGCTCAGAGTAGCTACAGCTGTGGCAGTTTTCACGTCTGTATTCTACAATCTCACACCCAACGCTGTTTCATTCCCCAGGCCCTCTCACTCACCCAGTCCACTGTTTTGCTCATGGCGGAGCGCTCTGCCCCCAGAACCAAGCAGAGTCGGGCCAATTTAGGCTGATTTCTTTCAAGGTACTCTTGCGTATCTCGCCTGAGTACCTCCAAGGCTCCTGGCCGGCTTTCGTCCAGGGACACGACGGTGCTCATCATGGGGTTGAAGCGGAAATACACGTTTGGAGCCAGCAGGTCGTCCAGGAGCGTGTGGACTCCTTCAGTGTCGGTGGCGCTGCAGATTAAGCTGCTGATTTTGGCTCTCAGACTGGTGGAAGTGCCCGGGTTTCTCTTCACACTGTCGTATCGACCTGTGCCCAGAGACAGGACACACTGGAAGGGCTGATGGGGCCACAGCAGACGGCTCTCGTGCACCGCTAAAGCACACGGGTTGTTCAGAAGGATTCCACCGTCCTTCAAAGTCACACAGAAAAGAGTATTAGCTATTTGACTGCCATTGACGTATTTGTCTGAGACTTCTGTCAAACTTGCCCTCTATTTGACTGGGGATTACAGGACAACAAAACTCGCCAGAAACAAACTTTTTTTTGCTGATGAAAGTAGACAATCCAGTCTTTCAGAATCTGGTTTCATATTTCACATAGTCATAGCACATAATATTCAGCGGGTCTTGAGAATCAGTGAAATCATCAAAAACAAGTGACGTGTGCCGCTGATGCTGCTGGTCCCGGTGACACTCAGATAACTTCATTTGATAAATAACATATGTTCCTTTGCAGCTTATACACAGTTAACCTGCCATATATTGTGTAAGGCAAGGCAAGGCAAGGCAAGTTTATTTGTATAGCACAATTCATACACAAGGCAACTCAAAGTGCTGAATCAAAAATAATCACAGAACATTAAAAGGAAAGATACAAATATAAAATCCCTCAGTTGTATGCACAGCTAAACAGAACTGTTTTTAACCTGGTTTTAAACATTGTCATTGAGGAGGCCTGTCTCACATCTTCAGGAAGATTGTTCCAGATTTTAGCAGCATGAATCTGAAAAGCAGCCTCCCCATGTTTAGTTCTGACTCTGGACACTAACAAGAGTGCAGTCCCTGTGCTCCTCAGAGTCCGGGCTGGTTCATATGGGACTAACATGTCACTAATATATTTTGGTGCGAGGCCATGGAGAGATTTGTACACAAGCAGAGTTGTTTTAAAGTCTATTCTCTGAGCCACAGGAAGCCAGTGCAGAGACCTGAGGACTGGACTAATGTGGTCGTACTTCCTGGTTCTAGTCAGGACTCGAGCTGCAGCATTTTGAATGTACTGCAGCTGTTTTACAGCCTGTTTGGACAGACCTGTGAGCAGGCCATTGCAGTAGTCTAACCTACTGGAGACAAACTGTAGGTCTGTGTGAATGACTGTGAAAATGAATGTCCACTGATCTAACTATTCAGGTAAATTTTTTGGATACCATTTTGAGGACTTTACAATGTAGTACAAAACACTGAAATAATTTCCCATGTAGATAAACCCATGTTGAGGTGGACAGTTGAGGTCATGTTGTTGAATTCTATTTCAGTTTTAGGGCAATAACAACTCAATGGGAAATAAGCAATTTTTGGAAGAAATGTCAAAAAAGATGTCCTGTTGTTTTCCCACAGAGCTACAGCCAGTAAAAACACAGTCAAAACAAGTATAAAAATGCCTAAAAGGGTAGGCTGTGCTCCTTATTTTAATAATAACATGATAATAAAATATAATTATGAGAAAATAATTAGACCAGAGAGCTATGTACTGATTAAAATGTGTTTGTTTCATGTGGATTGGGCCCAGGAATTACTGAGAATGTCCAACCATGGTAATCAGGAAGGATTTTTCAACTGCCCTCTACCACACTGTAAACTATAGGCTCTTTGGAATATAGTGATGTCACATGAAAGCAACCTATTCTTATAAACTTCTTGTTGCACTTTGGTACCTGGTGAATGTCTCCTTGCAAAGGGAACTCCTGGAAGTATCCCGGAGCCGCTGATGAAGCTCTCACCGCCTGCCACATCTGATAAGCACTGCCTCCTGCGTATCTGCTGAGAGATCCTGGAGTGTGGTTGTAGTTACGGAAAACAAATGCTTTTGGACTCGTTCCCCAGTTCACGACGGCACTGACGGCTGAGACCTACAAGAGACGACATCAGTCACAGCTACACTTTTCACATATATTTATAGTAATATAGGGGTGGGACTAAATAAGTTTTTACTTTCACCCACTCCTTTTCAAACATGTGCTCAGAATGTGTGTGAAGTTAACATTGTGTCTGTATACACTGTACATGTTTGAATTAAATGAATAAAAACAAATATACAAAAATATTACCTTAGGGCTTAACTCGTCTCTTGCTGTTTTAATAAGCAGCTGCTCCCCCAACTTGGCTCTGTAGAAATTTCCCAAAAAATTATTTTAAAGTCACATAAATTGTTCAAAGATAATAATATGATTTTCTATTACTGTATATTCAACAGAAAAGAAAAACAATGCTATTTTCATATTCCAATTACACAGCAATTTTACAACAAAAAAATGATTCATGGGGCCCTGTGCATGTTTAGTATCTATAGCACGTGCATGGGCAACATCTATGGCACTTTTCACCGTTTTAAAAGAGACGTTTTTATCTTTTCCTTTTAAATTGGAACTATTTTGTCAATAAAAACCCTTGCCGCTCTGGGCGACAGCTAGTTGAGTCTCGTAGAGTAAAAGAGCTCTAACATATGTATATAGTTACAAACACACACGATCACAAGATACTGATATGAAATTAAAAAAACACTGGGTTCCTTCAGCTGACAAAAACCTGCATTTTCTAGACCAGTGAAATGTGAAGATGACCTGAGTAGATTCTCCCAGGTCTCTGTGTTGTAGTATGAATGGCTCCAGCCCATCTTCACTGTTCCCACAAACCGATTCTGTTGGAAAACCTCTGATCCAAAACGCTGATACATGTCCTCACACTCGCTGAGGGAGAACCGGGCCAAACCCAGCATGTAGGCAAGGACTGCACCTGATATACAAACATTCAAACAATGAAAGACCGTTTTTATAATGTTTTTTCTATTGGCGATTTAAAGGGAATAACAGATTAGAGGGAACAATAAGGCAATAAGTGTCTTGCCCAAGGACAGTGAACCGCTGCTCTTTTTCACATCTTTTCACAAAATAACATTCACATTCACAAAATAACAATCTCTTCTCAAACAGTCAGATCATATGCAAAGTTTATACCCAAAACGGTATATTTTGAAATCAAATCTCCTAAATGGCTTGATGAAAAATGTACTTTCAAACCCATATTACAGAATTGTTTATTATTTTTATGTCAATGTTATCATTCTATTAGATAATAAATCCTGTATTTCATTGAACAATAGAAAATAACAAGACAACTTTTTTCTGTTTTTAGATAATGGGGATATGAATGATATACTGTACAAACTCCTTCGTCTGCTGTTGCATTAGTATTACATTTATTACTACAGTGAAGAGACTATTTATGTAACACTGGCTCTCACAAGATCACAGAGGCAACTATTTTTGAAAACTGTTCGTGAAAAAAGTGAATTCAGAAAGAAGATGTCTTAATATTTAGAATCTCTGTTTATGCTTTTCAATGACAACCTTTTTTAACATTTGAAAGTGGTGAAAATGTTTGCAAAGGTTTGAGAAAAAGACATTTCTCAAACCTTTGCAAACATTTTCACCACTTTCAAATGATAAAAAAGGTTGTCGTTGAAAAGCATAAACAGAACTGAATATGCTTTTGATTGTTTCATTTTGATTGTGTGTAGCTGTTGTGTTGAAACAGGATGTCCGAAAAAATCTTCTCTTTCATGGACCTCCTGTTTCCATGGATACATAAAGGTAAATTAAACCAGGCCAAACTGCACTTCCCACGACAATAATTCTTCAAAAACATTCCCAGTTGACTAGAGTGGCTTACCTGTGCTCACTCCACAAATGTAATCAAATAATTCATGTATTTTTCTGCCAGTTTGAGCTTCTAACGCCTTCAACACTTGTAGAGGAACAACACCTCTGAAACAAAAAATAATAATAAGAACAATTATATTTCTATACACTCCTAAAAAAAGTGAATTTCTTAAAACATGAGTAAAATTTGACCTTGTTCCACCACCGTCTATAGAGAGCACCCTGATGCCTCTCCCTTTCACAGCGTCCACATAACCCAGCAGCGCGAGGATTTCTCTGATGGCCATTTGGAAACCTTCATGGTGTCTGAAGGAGCGGCGTTTTCTCAGCAATAACACGGCCGTTTTCTCCTATGAAAAAGAAACAAAAAGTGTGACGTAGTCTGGCAAACGTGATTCTGTTTTGACCAGGAAGGAACACCAAGGAGATCCACGAGTCCCATTCAAACATTTGTTGTACTGTTACAATAAATGCAAATAAGATCATCTCTGCCTTCCTTCCTGTCTAAACCAACGCTTTCTGGGGGCGCTCCTCGAGGCTCTTCAAATGTGTTCTCCTTCCTCCCCACAAAAATGCTGATTTATTTTAGAAACAGTGTCTTACGGATCCTTCTAAGGTTTAATTCAATTTCATTTATTTTTGTATATCGCTAAATATCAACAGTAGGTATCTCAGAGGACTGACCAGCACAAAACTGTTGATTAGCTAACACAGATCAGACAATCAAACAGTTTGCGGCCATACTTGCATGCAAAAGCTAAATCTCGTCAGACCACTGATGCTGTACAGGGCAGGGCCTGGTTAGTACCGAGATGGGAGACCTCTATGAATGCCAGGTGCCACAGTGGGGTGCGGCTGTAAATTGCCAATCTGTTGTTGTGTTCTTAGGCAAGACACTTCACCCACACTGCCGAAAATGAATCTGGTGTGTGTGTGAATGCTTGGTGGTGGTCGGAGGGGTCGATAACACATACTGGTTTCCTCACTTCTGTCAATGTGCCCCAGGGCAGCAGTGGCTATATTAGTAGTTTATCATGGAGTAGTTTATGGAGTGAAAGAATAATGGCATGTGAAGCATATTTGAGTTTCCTGAAAAGCGCTATTATTATTATCATTAAAAAACAACAAATGCAATGATAAAAAACACAAAGGATGACCACTGTCCATCCGCCCCTTATGTGGTACAATGATCCAGACTCTACTTTTGGGGCCCCAGGATGTCGATAATAATAATAATAATCTGACTAACAACAAATAATTGCATTAATACAAAAGCACATCATTAGAAGTGATCAATGTCTTACTTGCCACAGGACCATTCTGCAGGACGGATACTGAATGAGATGTTGGTTGAGAGCTTCGATACAGGATAAAAGAACTTCTGGAGAGGACGTCTGTTCCAAAGTGGTTATGAAATTATATGTGGCTTCTTCTGCTTGCTTTTTGCTTAAGTACTGTGAAAGGAATGACACAATACAAACCATTGTTTAGGCTGAAGACAAAACAGGTCCCTCGTGTTAAGTATTGTCTGTTGTAATGTTTTATTTATGTATATATTCTGTATATATACATAAACCTGGCAGACCAATATAATAAAATGTAGCTGTCTTTTTATTCATACATTATATATTGCATTTTTCCTGACATCTTAACAGAAAATGTTCAATATTTTGCACACTTAGTAATAAAAAGCCCTGTGTGTCACTATTTAACGCTGACTTAGAGATGGAGGTCTTCTCTTTTTCCCTTTTTTGCCTGAAAAATCTGATCAAGAGGTGACAGAGGCCAATAATACATGCATTAATGATAGAACCAAACAGAGAGTAAAGACTATTGGGTTGAATTTGTTTTTTAAAAAGTTTTTCTATTTTGCACCTGGTGTCTGTTGAATTGAAAAAAAAAAATATTGTTATTGGTCTGTATTTTTATCTTTTTTAAATTTTGCATTCCTTTTCTAAAGTCCAGGAAACACTGAAACTTTCATAATCATAAAAATCTATGTACACAAAGAATTCAAGGCCGATGATGCCAAAACATACAAAAGCATGGCAAATATCAAAATACAAGCAAATATGCAACAAACATTAAGCGACAATCTTTCGAAACAGAAAAACTCACCTTTTTATTCCACGTCGTCCTTGGTGAGGTGACATTTCTCATTTGGTTCGGTCTCAGATATGAATTGAGGAAATCTGGGAGTGCGCTTGAAGGATGAAGCAGGCAGTCCAAAAGAGAAACGCTTTTCTGTTTGGCAGAGTTCATAAAATCCGGGTCCGCCTCTGTCGCATCTGCGTAGGCCCCGTTTTCTTCTATAGTCTCCCCTTTGAAATAATGATTGACGTGATTTGCCATTTGAGAATAGTTTTCACCAAAGTGTGTTGCGACCGGGCTGCTGTGGAAAAGGCCATCCAGATCATCTTTGGATTCAAACACTGGACTAGGTTTTCTTGGTAATTGTTGACGATTCAGCGATTTCTCCTTGCCTTGGATCCCAGCCCCAAAGTATCTGTTAATGTGAGCGGCAAACATTGTGTAACCTTCTTCCCAACTGTTGGAAGTAGGATTTTGAGCATTTACCACAGGAATAGCTTGAAGTTCATCTAAGGCGTCGTTTTCAATCCCACATTTTCCAATATTCTCACTCATTGAATGCATATCCAAAGTATTTTGTCCTTTCGCTTTGGTGTCACCTCTAGAAAAAACTGAATTGATATGATTTGCAACATAACTGTAGCTTTGTCCAAATCTGGTTGCCAAAGAGCTGGTGTGAAAAAGCTGGACACTTGATTCTTTGTCTACAAAACTTGCTCCAGCTTTGCCATCGCCGGTCTGTGATGTGACCTGTGGTAAGTCCTGGGAAGCTGTCTCCAGACGTGTCAGCGGCATTTCGTACTGTACAGTTTTGGCACTTTCCATGGCAGGTACAATGTTCTTTCTTTTGAAATACGCGTTAATATGTGTAGACAGCTGATTAAATGATTTACCAAGGCGCCCGCCGAGTCTTGTCAGTTGACTGCCCTGAGTCTCCTCCAGTATTCCCAACGGAGCCTCAGCTTTGAATCCATCGCTGCTGGTAGAGGTAGAGTAACTATGTGCGTATGAATGACATCTAGTTTTGGTGAAAGGGAGGACATGTTTTGAGACAGTTTTATGAAGATATTTGTGTCCACTTTGCCTGGTTAGGTTACTTGAAAAAATGTGAGGTTGAAATGACCATTTGAATCGCTCTTGACCGTGTATTTTCTTAAGAATGCTCATTAAGAACTTGATTTTGCAGTAGGATTTGAGAGTGCTTGAACAGAAGTGGAGATATCTGCCCATGTTTTCCCTGTGTAAAATACAATCAAATGCCACACTGAAGTTAAATTATACCAAGAAAAAAAAATAATACTTTGTGACCAATGCGAAAGGCTATAAACATGTACTGGTTCAAAACAACTTCTAGTGATTGTGCAAAGACACTGTGGCAACTATAAATAAGTGTGGCATTTTAATCTTCATTTTGTTAAAACAGTTTGACCTGTGCAGAAATACAATTTATTCTCAAAATGTGAGACAAGTTTATAAGGTATAACAAATAATTATTATTATCATACTGAAACCACACTGGATGTTTACTGGACACTGACACTGGATAAAGAGCCTTGTAAAGTCTATGACATTCTCAAAGGTTATAACTTACAGCCTGGTGTGTGTTTGTTGTGAAAAACAGGATCAAAACTGTGGTGTCCTTGGTAAAACAACGCAAAGAGTTTGCTTTACCCTTACTGGGGAAAGGTCATGCCTCAAAGCAGCTTATGTTCCACTCAACAAGAGAAGAGCAGTACCTGAGACACTGGCTTCACTTCTTCCTTCTTTTCTGTCGGATTAAAGGCATAAACTTCACAATCCAAAATTGGCATGCCAGTCAGGAGTATGGATAGTGTTGTTTTGATTCTCAGTCCGGCTTCCTCAGGCCTGTCATCCTATTGGTGGAGCTCTGTGGGGGTGGGCCACACTAACCAATGCCTGATAAGACCTTTAGGTCACAAGGTCACTGCTCAGCTGACTGGAAGCACTGGTCTATAATTAGGAAGAGGTTTTTGTGAGCAATACACAAAAGCTAACTATGTATGAATATAAAAGACAACTAACAATATTCTACTTGTACAATGACATCATCCCACAAACCCATAAAGTGTTCATTAATGTAAATACTGTGTTAAAGAATAAACCCATACAGTATGTCAGCTTGCATTACAGAGACATCTGATGGCCAAATGCTGGTAACTACAGTCTAAGGTTGCATGTTGTACACATATTTGCATACAACCTGTTAAGTGGGTTATTGTGACCCGAGGGTAGTCATTAAAAGTAGAAGAAAAATACCCAAAGTTGGGGTCTAAATTACTCAGGGCTGGTCAAGTTTGGAAAAATCCTCAAAATTCAGCCCGAATTTTTTTTTTTAATTTAGGGTATTTTTATCAGCAGCCTTGACTTCCATTTCCCATCATCAGGAACGCCTCAAAATACCCTCTTCCTTATAAAACTTGTAGTCGCCAATAAAGAAATAGGCCGCATACACGTTCACAACATTATATATATCAGGGTTCGTACAGATTTCCTCTTAAGGTTTTCCATGACTTTTCCATGACTTTTCCATGACCCTTAACCAATTTTCCATGGCCAAAAATTACTCAATTTCAATTGTTACTTGCATTCATTTGTTGATTTTGTGCCAAACACATTTTACAGATGTCTTACAAACATTTTATGGAAGACATTTTACAGATGTCTTCCATAAAATAAAATACGTTTAAAAGGGAACATATTCTGCAAAAAAACGACAGAATTTTAAAGTACAACACTGTTAGAATAGTTTTTCATTCATGCAGTTTTGAGTTAAGGGTTATTTTGAGTCATAGGAAAATCACAGAACTGTCCACCACATTTTTCCTCTCAAAGTGTGTTAACCAGGGTGCAATTGAGTTGCAAAACAACTTTCAGTTGATCACTTTTTACTAAGTCATTCCTGCTGCTGCTTCTAGAGGGAGCTCTAGGTACGCTGGCCAGCTCAGGCCTCTATGTGTCAGATCACTATTTTATCATTAAATAAAAAATACTTAATAAAAGGTTGGGTAACCAAACATTGTTTTTATTTAGCCTAAATTCAGCATGCAAAGTCAACTTTTTATCAAAAATATTAACTGTTGTACCTTCAATACATTCAAGAACAAAAAGTAACCATGCAATTACTTCCAACAATAAAATACACTCAAAATGGTAGCAATGTATGTACTGCTACATTTCTGCATTGCATTACAGACTAACTGAAGTGAAAGTAGTGTCTCAGTACAGGTAAATATTGTAATAAAACAGCTTCAGTGCTTTAACTTAAGTTCGAGTAAAAATAAAGTGTCTCTCACTACAGACTAAGAAGGCTTCCCCTGTTCATTCTGAAATATAAAATAGCTGCAGTACTTTAACTGTAGTTCAAGTAAAAAATAAAGTGTCCCAGTACAGACTGAGTAGGCCTATATTGCCATGTTAAGGGTTAAATGTAAATAAAATAAAAAAAGTTCAAGTAACAATAAAGTGTCCCAGTATTGCAGGCCAAGGTTTGCAGTTAATTCTTCAAGACACATAAATAGCCAGCTCCAGTGCATTTAGTTCAAGTAATAATACAAAATAAACATATCAAAAAGCCTAGTTAGTACATTTTAAAGTATCAGTGTGCGTAAGCAGGCCTATATTCTGTAAAGGTCTTAGGCCATTTATAGTTTATAGCTCATTCTTTGGTTTTCATCTCAAGAAGCTTGTCGTCCATTTGCTTATCGAGATCCTGTAGAGAGATTTTCTTTTCCTTAGCCGTGCGGCGCAGACTGTTTGACTTTGTTATGAAGGTTATGTTGCCAGTGTTTTCTGCTTTGTTGGCGTAGTCGTCTGCTGCCTTCTCCAATGCAGAAACATCCTGATGTATTCTGGCTTTCTTCCTTTTTAGTTCATCTAGTTCATCTGTAAGTGCCTTTCTCTTTTCCACAGACCTTTGCTTCTCATTTGCCCTCCTCATATCATCCAAGTAGCTTTCGTATCGCTGTCGTGCACATGAAACTGACATGAAGAGTTCCTTGGTGAGAGGTACATTTGTCACATCACCAACAGCCCTAATGTGTCCCACAATGAGCCTCTGAGCAATGAGTGACTGTTCCTTTTGATTTTCCACAATTATCTCTTTGTTTATGGAAAACCCTCTCTCTACACTTGCTTGACCATGGGAAAGAACAAGCAGCATCTTCACAACATGCCAAATCCTAGAAAAGGCTCTCTCTTTACCCATAGAGTCAAACAGTAGACTGTCCACTCTGTCTACCTTAGGGTCGAACTCCCTAAAACTGCTCTGCTGTGCAGCAAAATTGCAGAATTCCCCAAATTCACGCAGAACGTCATCACACATGGAGTCCTCCACACGATTCGCTTCCACAAGGTGATTCAGGATCCTCTTCATTTTCACAACACACATTTCTTTAGAACTGGCCATGCTCCTAGGGTTAAGACACTGCATGCTTCTTACAAGCTGGTGGTTCACAGGAGCCTTGTCCTGTAGCTTCTTCAACACTGTTATAAGGAAGACTTTACACTCCAACCTGATCTGCAGTGCCTGCCTTTCAGAGATCTGTTTTGCAAATTTGAGTTTGTTAAGCGACGCTTCAGCAGAAAACCCCAAGTTTACTTTCTGAACATCTTTCTGAAAGGTGTTGTCCTCAAGAGGAAAATGTAGAAGCTTCAGGATTGTGTTTGCCTCCTTTAGTGGCTTCTCTTTGCAAAATCGCCCCAATAGCCCTGTAACAAAATTAAAATAATTAATTCTGCTGGTCCTAGCAACAAACACATTTTTTTCACCATTAACTTTAAAAAGTGTGCAAATTCAAGACATAATTTCACCTTCAAACAATACATTGTAAACAATTAAATCCAATATATAGCTTTGTAATTTGTTTACTAGTTTCAACAGTCATCTCAAGACAAACCTACAATTTACTTAAAATTAACACAAGTATACACACAACCGCTTGTAAGAAATATAAATTATACATAATATTGCTTACCTTGCATAAGGTTGAACATATCATCACTGAAGAATGGCAACATGGGTCTGTCAGTCTGATAAAGGGTGAGAAAGGGGGCCATCTCTCTTGCAATGCTGTTAAATATCATCAGTTTCAGCGTAAACAGGGGATCTGTGGCACTGGCCTTGATGGCCTCAAAGGACTTGATCTTGGGTTCTGGTAGATCACCCTTCCGTACCATGTTCAAATATGTCAATATGTGAGGCCAAAGTTTTAGCGCTCTCTCGGATACCGTGACATTTTCCAGCCATCTGTGTTTGCAAAACTTCAGCATTGCGATGCTACACCCAGTAGCGTTGATGAAGTCCTCATGGCGAGCAGGAGCATCGTGAAATAGCCAATACAAACATAAGAGCGAGTGCTCAACGTCCCATCCCGCTGCGCTGGACCCCGCTCTGAAAGCGTTGTGTAGTACGTGCAGACCACAAGAGCCAATGTTTAACAGCGACTTGTCCACCTGTTTTTGCATCTCTTTTTGAATCATGTCATATGCTTTCCAGTTCACGTAGGGTCCGTCCATTGACAACTGGATGAGGTTTTTAATTCCCATCTCGGACAACGTGTTGCACATCTTTTCCACAATATCAGCCGCTGTAGAATGTCCAAGAAACTGGGAACCGATATATTTGCTTTTGACTTCTCCACCTTCCCACACGCGTACGTGAATGTCCAATTGCTTCGACTGTAAGCTATGGTTCAAAGACTCGTCAAATAGCACGACGTATGCGGTTTGTTGTGACACTTCTTTCAATAAAAGTCTTTTGATATACGGCGCAAGCCCAAATGTGGCGATGTATGCACACTTCTTCTCACCGCATGTGAATCTTGTGGCAATTTGGCTGTCTGGGAACATAGCTGCAAACAGACGACTCGTGCCCTCTGACGATTTGTAGGAGTAATGCGAATTCATTACTTTTAATACCCATAGTATCTCGGCTTTCAGTACCTCATTTTTAGAGGAAAAGTCCAACGTTCCTTGAGTTGTTGTCGGTGCTCTTGGCGTGGGGGTTTTCTGTACACTAGCGCCTATGAACTGGCTGATGGGAATCGCAGCGGCATTTGCCCTCATGGCTAACTCATGTTTTTTCCCTTTCATATGGCTCGCCAGAGCAGACTCCCCCATATTCGAAATGTCAAACGTTTTACTGCATAGCTTACACTTGGCGTGACTTGAGTCGGAGTCTTTTTGAAGCCAGCTCTGATATTTTTCCACAAATAGCCACGCATTGTTGAATCTGCATTTTCCTGGCATGATGGTTTTGCTGAGTCGCTGTAGCAGGGAAAACACGTAGCTGGCCTCGAGTCAAGCGGGGGGCGTGTCGCTAATGGCTGCAAGCAACCTGTCTGCCCGAATACAATGTGCGCGCTGGAGTGCTTTACGATTGTTTTTTATTTATTCATTACATATTTATATAGCCTTAAATTTTTTTAAACATACATTTTGTAAAATTTCCAAACTTTTCCAGGACCTACAAAATTCCAAAACTTTTCCAGGGCCTGGAAATTAGATTTTAAAATTCCATGACTTTTCCAGGTTTTCCATGACTGTACGAACCCTGATATATTTAATTGAATCCCATTTCATAGTTTGTGGAGTAATGATAAAGTGCAGAGTAAAGTCCACAGGAACAGAATGATACCTAGTGTCAGTTCAGTTTGATTTCTTATCACAGCGTCCATCAGTGCACTCGGATCCACGGCCCGTCCACTTGAGGCGGTTTCTGGCAAAGATATCGTAAGCTTTGTCCATTAAGGGTCTTATGGGCGGCCACATGAGGATGCGTCCCAGCCATCCAAGTCCCACTGCAGAGTACATGACAGAGAAAGCAGGAACTCCGCTGTGGACCTGGAAAACCAACAAAGGATTATGATTAGGATCCGGTTTAGACTAAAGTAATTAAAAGGTTTAGGCAAAAGCAAACAAAAACTAACCGTATTTTTCTCATCTATAACATGCATTTCCTCCATTGCCATCTCATAACTGATGCCATTGTGCTTCGCTCCGTCATATCCTGGGAGAGAAATATCAATGAAGTCCACACTGCCTGGTCTTTTCTTCTGTAGAAACTGGAGAAACCGGATCTCTGTCACACATATGGGACAGAGCCCATCATACAATACCTGTGATACAGAACAAGGACAAGTTATTTATGCAATCATTGAATTAAAATGTGTCACAAAGAGTATATTAATACTTGTTTATGTCTTTTAGGGATTTTACAATTAGTTGATAGTGTTGTGTTTATACAAATCGACCTACACTGTATAATTGTTAAATCAAATCTAAAAGCCATTCATCTGGCTATTTATGTCACATTAATTGCATTTATGGAACTAGTCTGAATTTAAAAAGTAGTGATCACTGCTCTTGGATGGGTTTCCCCAGCGGAGGGTCAAGATGGGCCGAATACGTAGTACTAATCATTTCTTGTGAATATTATCCGAAAGTAAATCTCTAAATACATTCTAATAATCTATTCTATGCTACATGCTATTGGTAACGGTAATGCTTCACCTTAACATATTACATCCTTGTTCTAAAAATGATTACTGTATGGTCATTCTACTGGAATTCGTCCAACACATGTACATTTCACATGCTCCCCATACAGTACACTCTGCTGGACACCAGGTGAAACTTTGCCATTTCTTTAGGAAGTGCATTCCTGAGAGCGGGAGCAGTTTGAAGACAGCTGTTCACACTGAGAACTGGTTTAAAACACGATGCACGGGTTAGCCACACGTGTGAAGAGTACAGTGCTGCTAATGACAACCCACCAACACTAGGAGTTCAAGTAAGTGCAACCTTCTTAAAGTCTACTGAAGGCTTCAATGAATAACAGTGACCACAAAGTGAAGTGGGGGTCTGGTTGACATTTGATATTAACAGAAATGGTGCCAACGTAGACCACATGCTTTATCTGACTGACAGGACAAATGTATCTTGTTGTTACTGCTGATCTGCTGCTTGAACGGTGAGCTTGAAGGTGATTTCCTCTTATACACACAAATGATAAATGTTTCATGTTAGAATGAATTGCATCAGCTGTAATGGTCTGTCACTAAACCACGTGTCCTCTAAAACAACACTGCACCTAGATTTCTTTTCCTAAATAATTTTATCAGTATTATTTTTAGAGGTTTGTGCATTTCTTTATAAAAATACACCAGATATAATACGTGTGAGTATTTAGTCATAAAGAGGCACTTACTTTGACAGGTGCAGGACATACGGGGCTGGTGCTATGGCAGGTCCTGAGCTGCAGTCTGCATAACATTGCTCTGATTGCCAATCCAGAGGTCAAAGGCATTCTCACTAAATTCATGATGGCTTTTCTATCGCGTTTCTTTTGCTAAACCTACACAGCCGCTTCGAGACAGCAGTTTCTGTATCTAAAACTACAGTACACATGCACACACGTAACAACACAGGCGTTACACAAGCGGTTTGGTAACGAAGCTAACAGGCTCACAACAAAATATACGTCAGCTTTGCATGTCGCTGTATAGTCCACTTGTGAGAAATTAGGCAAAATGAACCATAGAAAAGCACTTGCTGTTGGATAAATTCACGAAACCCACTCGTTCTCTGGCTGGTGTGTAGGGGGCGCGGCCAAAACACTTTACTTCCGCCTTACGTGATTGCGTCATTTCTCCCCTCCAGAAATACTTTTATATCAATAATTCAAAAACCAACTCACTTTTATCCAAAAAGTCAAAATTCAAGCATTAGCAAACATTGAAAGAATAATGAAAAAACGGCAATACAATGGAACCTCAATTTATATGCATTCATAATCTGTTTCTGCTTGTGAAAGCTAAACAGGGGAGAACATGGTTAGTTCTGTGATGGGAGACCTCTGGGAACAACAGGTGGATCCGCTGGGGATATAAAGCACTTCGTTATGTCCTTAGGCAAAACACTTCACCCACATTTCCTCATATGAGTCTGATATGTCAATCAAGGGGCTAATGGCACAGATTAGTGCCTTCAGCCTCAATTCTGTCAGTCTGCCGCAGGGCTACTGTGACTTCAGGAGTTGTCTCATAACTATTCCTGACTGAATAGTTTTCCACTCTGTAGTAAGGTCTCATTCGTTCATATTTTGTATTTCAGTCCACTCTACTGTTTACAAGGACACTGGACGGTCCCTCCCCTGCTTATTTTATGAATAGTGTTTTTTCCTGGTCATTAATGTTCCTGTCTTCTATGCATTCAATACAAACTATATTGCACTGTTCTGTGCATCTGTACAGTATTTCCAAGGCTTAAAATTGCAGTAAACATCGAAAAAGGGATAATTGTGTGTATGGCCATTCTACATTACTGATATTATTTTTGTGCACTTCCATCAGGTGAACCAAATATGCCTCCTCCAGCAGCTACTAATCTGGGTTACACTCCCCCTGACGGAGGATGGGGCTGGGTGGTCGTCTTTGCTGCTTTCATCTCTATTGGATTCTCCTACGCTTTCCCCAAGTCTCTTACTGTGTACTACAAGGAGATTCAAGAATACTTTGGCGCGTCCTACAGTGAGATAGCATGGGTGTCCTCCGTCATGCTCGCCTCCATGTATGCCGCAGGTTTGTAAAAAAGGAGTGAACAACACTAAAAGTCATGATTGATGTACTTGTTTTCTGCACCTTTCTGTACACAGGGCCCATCAGCAGTGTTTTGGTAAACCGTTATGGCAGCAGACCTGTGGTGATGGCAGGTGGACTGTTGGTCAGTGCTGGAATGATCCTAGCATCCTTTGGCACTTCCATTATACACCTTTACCTCTGTGTTGGAGTAATTGGGGGTAATTTAAAGTAAAAGTGTACACAAAAATATTGCTCCTTGCATTCAATAAGTTATTGTCTTGCCTCCAGGCTTCGGACTTGCATTCAACCTGCAACCTGCGCTGACCATTATCGGCACTTACTTTCAGGCCAAAAGGCCTCTGGCTAATGGACTGGCCATGACAGGAAGTCCAGTGGTGTTGTTCACTCTTGCTCCTCTGAACCAGTACCTGTTTGATTCTTATGGCTGGAGGGGAAGCTTCCTCATTTTAGGAGGCATTGTCCTGAACTGCTGTGTGGCTGGTTCTCTGATGAGACCAGTGAAGAAAACGGTTGTGTCCAAAACCGAGCCTTCAGAGTGTCATGAGAAGGAGGCAGCAGGCTCGCCGAGGACTGAGGACAGCTCGAAGAGCCAGAGATGTGTGCAAAGGTTTATAGATGTGTCTCTGTTCAAACACAGAGGCTTTCTCATTTACCTGGTTGGAAATGTGATCATGTTCTTTGGCTTTTTTGCTCCTGTTGTATTCCTTGCTCCTTATGCCAAACATCAGGGAATTGATGAATACTCTGCAGCTTTTTTGCTTTCTATTTTTGCACTAGTGGATATGTTCGTACGACCAGCAACTGGCCTTCTTGGCAACACTAAATGGATCAGGCCAAAAATCCAGTATTTCTTCGCATTTTCAGTGTTATACAACGGTGTGTGCCACCTCCTGTGCCCCCTGCTCCCTGGATATGCAGGTCTGGTGGTCTATGCAATCATCTTTGGTGTGGCTTTTGGCATGGTGTGTGCTCTGCTCTTTGAGACGCTCATGGACCTGGTCGGAGCCCAGCGCTTCTCCAGTGCAGTAGGGTTGGTCACCATCATAGAGTGTGGGCCAGTGCTGCTGGGACCCCCAATATCAGGTCAGTAAAATGATTCATACACACAGAGAGTAGTTATCAGCCATAACACAGCTGTGGTATCTTCTCCAGGTGCTATGGTGGATGCCTTTGGGGACTACAAATACATGTACTACACATGTGGGGTGCTAATGTTGCTCCCTGGAATCTTCTTCTTTATTATGCATTTTTACAACTACAAGAAACTGGAGGCGGAGCAGAGGAAGAACACAGCTGTGGAAACTGCAAAAGACACAGCTCAACAAATGATGTACCAAAAGGACAATGGATCTGAACATGAAGCATGAAGATTACTAAGACATGAGAAGGCCTTTAATGGAACATAATTGATATAGAACATCTGGGCATGAAAGGAAGAATACTTACACTGTGTAGCATGTTTTTTATTAAGCTAATTTGGTATGGCTAACCTGCATACGGTGTTAGGTTGCCCCTATAGAAAATAATTACACAAAAATATGTGAGAATACTTCTGTTTCAGTGCCCAAACTGTTGGACCAATGTGAGTATTCCACAGTTTTCTGTGTGGATGGGTCGGTTGGTTGTGTCATTCTCAGAATACCGCTACTCATGAACAATTCTTTATTGTTATTTTATTTCATTTCCAAACACAGACGTACACATGTAAACACACACATAACTCAAAAAAACACTAAATAAAACCCATAATCCATTGCATTTTAGACTAGATCCCCATTTACCAGCCACAACATTTTGACAATTATAATAATCTAAAAAGGTAATTCTTAGGAATAAATCAGACAAAGCAGATTTACTACAACCTTTGATATTAGAATCTTGATATACACATACTAAATATGTGTTACATTTGTATTATAACAGTTTTCATTGATGCCGCATACCACTAAAACATTTTGGCTTTAACAATTAAAGGTCATTTTTATTCATACTGCTGTGCTGTGCATAAACTAAATTGGTTGTTAATAAAATGGTTAAAACATTGAAGTATGTTTTTCTTTGTGTTAGATGTAAACTTAAAGAAAGCATTCCAACCTGGGACAAAAGGCTCTTTGTTTTATAGAGTGAGATTCTGTGTGATAAGTGGTTAAAATCATACATTGGGGTGAGGTCCACACCCTGAACTGTGTTTGTTCAGGGTCTGCACACATTGTCCCGTGTGCAGTGTTTGAAGCTCTTTGAGGTCACCCCCACTTTAACAGTATAAATACTTTGAGGATTGTTTCCACTCGCTCAGTTCAAGCATGCTGATCTGAGAGCCAGAGCTCTGTGTCTGTCATGAGCTTCATCTGTGGTCCTCCTCCTCCTTTCTATAATCTACATCAAACTCGTGACTACATTTGGCTTTGTCGAGAGACCAGTTCCTACTCAACCGGAGGTAAGCAGTGTTGAACTTATCTGCGTCTCCCTCAAACAGATCTGGTGCTCCTTGACAAGCATGCGGGTTTGGGTGTGTATCATTGATAGGTACTAGGTACCAGCCAGGGCTCCATGTGGCTGTCAGAAGTCTGAAAGCAACCCAAGGCAAGCTCAATCACAGACCTCCTTCGCAGATCCTCTTTGTAACCAGAACATCTGTCAAGGTCAGAGGAAAAAAAGAGCAGCAGGTGCCGGTGCTTTTCCTCTCTCGACATGCTGTCACAGAGAAGCAGGACAGTGGAGCAGCAGAGAAACCAGGTCTACCAGGGCCCTTTGCAAGAAAGACCCAAAACCGGGGCAGTTATGCCAATTGAATCTTCGCAATGATGCCTTTGACACCTACTAAATGTGGTTTTTTTCACTCAATACATATTTTGTTTGTGTGTTTTAGCTTTTGGACCATGAGAATCATTGGACAACACAATTGGACAGGTGACTTAAACTCAAGTTCAACGCCACAAGACACAACTACTCCTCCTGGAGCAACTGTAAAGAATGGAGTGAGTATTGGACACAGAGCAAAGAGAAGCATAGAGTGTTATTCATCAGGCGATAGACGACCCACAGATACTACACAGTTTAGACAGTGCCGTTATAAGTGCTCACTGCCAAATGTTGTAATTATTCAGAAGGGTGTCTAGCAGTTCCATGATTTATATAGTATATTGTTAAGTGAAGCTTATGATTGGAAGTCTTGGGCTTTTTCTTAGAATTTAGTTTTCATTTTTTATTTGAAGTTTTCAATATTTGATGCCAAAGGTTTCATTTAATTAGTTATATATTTATAGGCAATATTAGATTGTCAGAAATAAGGGTTAAAGTTAGGGTTTTGGTTAGAATTATAATGACTATATCAGTGGTTTTACCTCAATTAAACAAAATGTGGAGATTTTCTAAATACATAATTAAAGATTTTAGAAGTCAGCATGGCTTTAACTCTTTACACTAGCCTTTCTTATATAAAGAGGACATTTTCCTGCTGAAAGCTTTGTATAGCTTTGTACCATGTGAATCTTTTCTCAATAATAAGTTATATTGATACTTTCTTTAATATTAATTTTAATCTATTAATTTAAGCAGGAATCTGATAGAGACCAATACAGTATGACATGCAACTGTTGATAAGAGAAACATCTATGGTTACTTATTTGTGATAAATAAAAACAGAGGTTTGAGTCATTATTTCTATGTGCTAGGTGTCAACTAATTTGATTCAATCTTAAATACATCTTTCTGACTCGGGAAGGACAAACCATCGTCCCATGTCCATCCATCCATCCATCCATTTTCTACCCTTTAATCCATTTCTGGGTCAGGGGGGTGGCAATCAGAGATGCCACCCAAGTCTCATAGCACCAGCCCCATGTTAAGTGTTTAAAACTCTTTGATATCATCCCAACAGTATTTATTGTGGATATGTTTCCCTCTCTCAGCTCTGTGTTTGTCATAAACTTAAACATGTAAAAAACCTGTGGTCCTCATTCTCCTTTCTACAATCTACAAACCAGACTTCTGTCTACTAGCATATTGTTGTAGAATTGTATATGTCTCCTTTAAAAGTGTGCCAAGAATGCAGACCCCTCACTGGCCCCTTGCCTTTGTGTTTATTAAAGGTTATTTTAGGGCACGTCATGGGATCAAAGACCTCCCCACTGTGACTCTGCCTCAAAAGTCAGTGGCTACAGCGTAAAAACAGCCTGTAATCTGGGCTTTTCTTTTGTAAGGACTGAGGAAACGTAGGCTGTCGCGGTATGTTGGCAATGTTAATTCTGCCTGCACATGTGCTCCGTTTTCTGTAATAATCTCCACTTGTTTATGCGCTGTTCCATTGTCCGCTCTAGTACCACCCCACAGCAGGTGCACCGAGTATGCCCCCTCCAGCTACAGCCAATCTGGGTTACACTCCCCCAGACGGAGGATGGGGCTGGGTGGTCGTCTTTGCTGCTTTCATCTCTATTGGATTCTCCTACGCTTTCCCCAAGTCTCTTACTGTGTACTTCAAGGAGATTCAAGAATACTTTGGCGCGTCCTACAGTGAGATAGCATGGGTGTCCTCCGTCATGCTCGCCTCCATGTATGCCGCAGGTTTGTAGTTTTTTACTTATTTCAAGTTATAGAGGAGTGAAAAAAAGTTTCTTGACTAAAGTTGGCTGAATGCAGGGCCCATCAGCAGTGCTTTGGTAAACCGCTACGGCAGCAGACCTGTGGTGATGGTGGGTGGAATCTTGGTCGGAGTGGGGATGGTCTCTGCATCCTTTGGCACCTCGATAGTGCATCTGTACATCTGTGTCGGAGTTATTGGAGGTACATTATTGTTTATTCAAAAGAAGAAATGTATGCGTTCATATATTTTAGCTCCTAAGCCAGACCAGTATAATTAATGAAACAGTTTGGATATTGGATAATACATTTTTGTTTTATTCTATTTATTAGAATAAAGATAGCCCCTTGAGATTAAGCAAGGGGGTCCAAAGACAGCAGGGCAAGACAAACATTTTACAGTGTCCAGACAAAAAGAACAAAAATCCAAACAATTAACATTCACATTCATTCACCAAACAGCCAGCATTGCAATTCCAGACCCTGACCCTCAGTTATCCTCATGCATTCTTATATAAAGAGTTGTTAATGATGTTGTGATTTCTACATTATGTAATAACAGTTATATACATATTACAGTAACATGTATCTACACACTCATATGATGGCCTGGACAATAAGTGCAAGACACTTAGGCAAGACCTATAGTAGCAATCTGGTAGCAACAACCAGTGAATGATTTGTGGTGGTTGGAAAGGTGGCAGCTTTGACTACAGCAGAAGTTTACATAACATGATTTGTTTTCTAGGTTTTGGACTCGCCCTCAACCTGCAACCTTCTCTGACCATTATCGGCACTTACTTTCAGGCCAAAAGGCCTCTGGCTAATGGACTGGCCATGACAGGAAGTCCAGTGGTGTTGTTCACTCTTGCTCCTCTGAACCAGTACCTGTTTGATTCTTATGGCTGGAGGGGAAGCTTCCTCATTTTAGGAGGCATTGTCCTGAACTGCTGTGTGGCTGGTTCTCTGATGAGACCAGTGAAGAAAACGGTTGTGTCCAAAACCGAGCCTTCAGAGTGTCATGAGAAGGAGGCAGCAGGCTCGCCGAGGACTGAAGACAGCTCGAAGAGCCAGAGCTGTGTGCAAAGGTTTATAGATGTGTCTCTGTTCAAACACAGAGGCTTTCTCATTTACCTGGTCGGAAATGTGATTTTGTTTTTTGGCTTTTTTGCTCCTGTTGTCTTCCTCGCTCCTTATGCCAAACATCAGGGAATTGATGAATACTCTGCAGCTTTTTTGCTCTCTATTTTTGCACTTTCAGATATGTTTATCAGACCAACTACTGGTTTTGTTGGAAACACTAAATGGATCAGGCCAAAGATCCAGTACTTCTTTGCATTTGCTGTTTCATATAATGGAGTGTGCCACCTCGTGTGCCCCCTACTCCCTGGATACGCAGGTCTAGTGGTCTACGCTGTATTCTTTGGATTTGCTTTTGGGATGTTGTCAGCTCTGCTTTTTGAGACGCTCATGGACCTAGTGGGAGCTAAGCGCTTCTCCAGTGCTGTGGGGCTATGCACTATTATAGAGTGTGGGCCTGTGCTCCTGGGACCCCCCATGTCAGGTAAGGCCAATACCACTTTCATATTTTAATGAGAATTTAAAGTCACGTGTTCTGCTCATTTGCAGGAGCCCTGGTGGATGTCTTTGGAGACTACAAATACATGTACTACGTGTGTGGTGTGTTTATGCTAGTGCCTGGAATCTACTTCTTTGTTATGCATTACTACAATTACAGGAAGCTGGAGGAGGAGAGGCACAGAGCAGCTGTGGAGATGAGGACTGCTGAAGACACAGTACACTTGAACATAAATCAGAAATAAGAAAGATCGTCATAATTATTTATAATTAATATAATGAAATATTAGTTTCAAGTTTACAATTATAGTTAGAATTCAGATTTCTGTGTATAAATATATCTTTATCTAATTTATTAATTAAGTAGCTCTAGTGAAGTCATTTTTACAACTTTTTTATTACTTTTTCTCACACTATCCTACTGACACTGACCACTTGATGGCAGTATACTATCTAATGTGTGAAATCCAATTCATTCCAACACAGAAGCAACAAGGTCCATCATATATTGTGATAATGAAGTCAGTGTCAGCATTGGAGAAAGTATAAATGAAATACAACTTCATACAAGTTTTATTTTGCAGTATTATTTGTATATATAGCAATACGTTTGTCTTGTGTGTGTCTTTTTTAATATGGGCATTTGTAATATCATACATGCATTAAAATCCTCTCAAACATTTTGCATCATGTATACTGTAGGTCTGAACTTTGACCCTACGTAGAAGGCTATGTTTGAATGTAGTCCCTGGGCTAAATGAACTATGCTTATCAAGTCCCGACAAGCTGCATATTGACTTTTCCGTTCAGATGAATAAAAATTGTGTATGTAAGCAAATCAATGCGCTTATATCTAACGGCAGATAACATTCCGAGTGGCAGCCCTATTGTTTATGCCTTATGGGTAAGTGGTCTGGTGGTTCACGAAGGAAAGCTTTTGTCAGGATTTATTGATGACTTCTCAGAATATTCTTATGGGAATAGGGTTAATGGGTGAGCTCAAAGTGGCAACCTAAAAGGCCTTCAATTAGCACTCACATTTCACTGGAAAAAAATGTTTAGGCCCAGAGATGAGGTGTGATCGTGATGTCTTAAAGCTGCTGTTAATTGGGGCTGAGGCGATGGGATTCACAAGGCACTTCACACGTTTTCGACCTAAAGTTTTCTCAAAAGCAAAGAGTATTGGATACGGGGGAGTCCGTAATGACATGAGTGATAGTGTTGTTTTAATCCGGCATGTTTGCAATAATCTCTGCTAATCTGCTTTAGCTACAGCTGCAGAACTAATCTGTCTTCTCAGTGTTTAGACTTGGAGACAGAGCAACATCGGGAGAATACTCAGGACTAAAAGGCTTACTCATCAAGGCAGCAGCATATTGATGACATATGCACATACAGATTATGAATGTGATGGATGGATTTACATTGACAGGTCCTGATGTGATTACTTACATACAATCTGCCATGCCTCGGATCACTATATATTGAGCTGGAATATCTGACTTTGAAGCCACGACACACAATTATTTAACAAACCCGTGTGACCAGTTCTTACCCCTAATAACAGTTTGCAGATGTTTGGCCTCTGTCACACTTTTAGATCAGCTTTTTCAGCAGAGAAAAGCAGTCCTCACTCAGCCAATCAACTCTCCCTATGAAAAGATACGCATGTTTTTTAACGAGACAGAATGTTGTGATCTGATGTTACGGATGTTACAAAATGTTACTTAGACAAGACTCTTGCTGTTGGGACAAACAAAAGAAACAATGGATAAAATAAGAAAAAGGTACTCCACCTTTGAAAGAGGCATTATCTTGGGTCGTTAAAATGATTCCAAGACTACAGTACTTTACTAACTGTGTAGATGCTTAAGTAAGTCTTAAGTATGGTGAAACGAGTATGAATAGCCTGTAACTCCTATGCTACACAGCAAAAAATGCTTGAATCGAGTGGTTTTCATCTTGAATACTTTCTTAAAACAATATTAGCCAATGGGACAAAGCCTTTTAGTCTAATTTCAAGAATTGTTGCTTTATTTTCTCGTTCCAAGGGAGACATTTCTTTCATCTTTTGAAAACAAGATAATTTTTCTTGTCTCAATGGCAAATCTTATTTAGTCAAATTTGAGTAATTTCTGTATTGTCTTTCCTCACTTTTTGATTTAAAGAACACTATTTTTTCTAAGAAATTAGACTTGTTACATGCTGGGTAAGATACACCAAGCCTCGATTTGTTTATAATGTTATTAATTGGCTCACAGTTTATAAAAACCTAAAACAAAACATGTCAGAAAATTAGAATATTTAGAAAATGGACAGTACCATTATTATCAACATGATAACAAACAAAGGCTTGAGGCTTGGAGTTTATATCATGTATTGGTTTCACATTTATATTTAATCATATATGTTTTCTTTGAGCAATGGACCATGTTTCTTTTTTATGTCTCTTCTATTGAAAAAACAATCCAAGTCGATATGTTTTTATAACTATACTCATCATTTTAGTGTCAATTAGCTGCAGGGCTGTGATTATTTATTCATTCACATTTTCTACAGCCCCAGAGACGAGCACGACGGTCTGTAACTGGAGCTGACCTCATGCTCCATGGTGAGTATTTAAAAACCAGTGAATGGAGATATTCTGTGGTGTGATGAGAGCCTGGTCGTATAGAAGCAAGGCTAACCCGTTTAGCTACGAACACATGAATCTCCCCTGATGATGGCGGCGACATTGAACCCACACAAAAGAACAACCTCTTAGTTTGTCATGAATAATTCCTCATAAAAAGAAATGAAGTTACGACACCAGATCACTTAATAAGCTTATGTTATAATTACCCATCCTCCCAAAACGCTTTCCCCCTAAAGCATTTTTGTATATGCCAATGCAAAGTTACAGACTGTGCGAATTATCACTCAAATACACATTTTTGCTGCTTCTTAGTGGTGACAATAGAGGGGCCCCTGACCAATACCCTTAATCTGCCACTCAAAATACATTTGGGCTTTTGTGCGCGGCTGGTGGAGACTCTCGGCTGCCTATTAAAACCATTGTTGCTCTTTATCTGGCGCACACAGACGACTGCTACGCTGCTCTATCAGAGATGAGGCCGCCGTTGTAAGCTTGTCGCCAAAAGAATACAAGTATTGTCCAGTGGATTCAAATCGGGTCTTTGAACAGAATACTAAATATCTCGAGCTACAAACACTGTAAAACCAAAATATCTGTGACCTCAATTCACAGCGGAGTTTATGTGAAGCCTGGCAAAGGATGGCAGACGTCTGAGATGGTAATGTAGACGAGTCGGTTAAAGCTGGGGTACCTACGTCTCAAACGACAACACGTTTAACCATGCAATAAAATGAATGTTCTTGCTCAAAAAAAGGCTTTCACATGCATGCAATTTTTAGCATTCATCATATAGATCCAATCAGATTTATTAAAGCGAAAAGGGAAAAGGAGCCCAAAGTGTCAAGAAGTGACTCACAGAACTCTTCCTTATAAGCAAAATATCCTTTTTTTCATAATAATTAAGTAGTAAGTAAGTAATCTTTATTCATATACCGCCTTTCACGGACACAGTCACAAAGCAGTTTTCAATTGTTATTTTTAGGCATTTGTCTCTCACTCCACACAGAGATGGGAGCGGGGTCGCCAGTACAGGAGGCACATGCCAGACCTGTTGTACATGTTTTTAGTGGTAGGGGAAACCGAAGCACCCGGAGGAAACCTACGCAGACAGAGGGCAAACATCCACTCAGAAAGGCCCTGGTCCGACCGGGATTCGAACCCAGGACCTACTTGCTGAGAGACGAGAGTGCTATCCACTTGATATCCACGTGCCGCCCACAAGATAAAGCATCTCGTGATGTGATTAAACAGTTTAATTTTGCAAGACTCTTTCAATTGGGACAAACAAACAGTCCCCAAAAAATACCCCCCAAAAAACAAAACACATGTACCCCAGCTTTAATTGAGCCGTGTGTAATATGCACTCTTTTTGGTCTGTAAAGTCAATACAATTACTTTTTTTGGCCAGAATCCTTCCTCCCTGTGACATATTAATCTTCTAAGCATGCTGGTTACTGATTCAACCCACCTGCTGGGGTTTAGCAAGAGGCTAACTCTGTGTATTACATATGACTAATTAATTTTCTGTACAAATATGTGTTGCTATAATTATTTCTTAGGTGAAACTGGCAATCATAATGAGAGCCTCATTCTGTTCTCTGATTGGACGATCTGCTTGAAAATTGTAAACATGAATATTATGGACATTATGTGTATTGTATTTAAGCTTTTGTTCAGAGAAGGTCAAACATGATGTGAACATGTGACCTATTATATAGGAACATATATGAAAGATGTAGTTGATATTAAAATAAAGATATTACATACTGTCCCTTTAAATGTGTTAATTATTATTATTATTTTAACACATTTGGTTGGGTCTAGGATGTAAGTAAGACAGTCACTTTCATAATCACACATCTTTTCAAACAGTGCATTTATAGGCTTTGACAAATCAGGTCTGTATATTATTGTTGCTACCCACTAGGGCTTCGGCATCTTATATACACATCAGTAATCCGTGATATAAAAAATAAAATTGGTCTTCTTTTATCTGTCTATCCCGGGACCCCACCGCAGTGACCATCACGACCCCTGAAGATAACATTCTGCGATTTAGTTTAATTTGATTTGAGAAAATTGTATTGAATCGCAGATAAATCTCCCATTCTACTCAGCTCGCTCCACGACAAAGATTGGCATTCTAGTGTCTTGTCCGCGAGGGGATAAAAAGGCAGAGAGGGGGGAGATAGGAGGGGAGGGAGGGAGGGAGAATAAGAGAGGAGAGGGTTCCAGGCTTGCAACCTTCACAGTGGAGAGACGGATGCGAAATCGGCTTTATAGGGCACACAACAGTAAATAAATGTCGGTTTCAGAATGATGAAAAATGATGACCGTTGCCTCCGTGATTTGCAATTCAAAACAAACGATTAAATGTTTTGAATGGGAAAAGGTTGTCAAAATGTTACACGAAAGAAGCAAGCTGAAACACTTTTTTAACTGTGCATTTGGTAATGTAGACGAGTCGATTAAAGCTGACATTTAAAGTAGCAATAGGCAATATATTCATGTAAAGTCATCTTTAAATTTGGTCAAAAGGCATTAAAGGAGCTAAATCCGTTTCTGCAAGGTTTTTTCAGTTTGAATGTTTAGCACCGCCCCTCAACTCGC